AATTATTTATAAAATTGTATACATTCAGGGAATTTCCTAATTGTTTGATGCATATAGAACAATGCCTCTTCTTATTAGAGGCATTGGAGTGCTTTGTGCCAAGGTTTTTCTACAGAAAATAGGTTGCAACAGATGTATGAATTATATTCATGTGGTGAGTCGCCACAATTGTATTCTTAAAAAGTCGTTTAGAGAAGAGAAAGATGAGGACTAGAACAGGAAATATTAACCTACGACTAAATCATTATCTGATAATGCTATAGTTTTTTCTTTGATGTTACAGTTGCATGGAAACTGATGCCTGATATGCTGCTTTGAATATTTTTCCTTGTTCCATTCATGTCTTTTTACTCAGAACTAAGGCCCAGTAAGTTTAATGGGGTTCAAAGTCTGTGTGCAAAAGACTTTCACCTACTATTGCAAATGGACTTGGAAATGGTACCACATGTTACTGCCAGTTATAATGGATACATTTAAACAGACAGAACATACGCTTGACTAAGAAGGAACACAACCCTGTAGGAGTGTGAGACAGCCAGACCAAATAATACTTTAACGTCTAAAAAACCTACACTTTAAAAAGCAACCAACAGTGCCATTTAGCAGACTCAAATATTGCTAGCAGAAGTTGACCAAATCTTTACATTGCATGAGCAATTATGCTTGCACAATGAATTGTCTAATGGGCAATAGGTCCATAACCGTGCATGCACAAGTGTAAAGTTCGATTCTCCCCTTGCTCATAGTTCAAAACCTAATTTTGGCTAGTGCAGAGCCATGAGAAGGATCTTGGGATTGTTGTTGATCATAAGCTAAACATGAGCTAACAAAGTGATACAGCTACAAAAAGGGTAGATGCTATTTTGGGATGCACTAACAGAAGCATCACTTCCATAGAAACAGAGCAAGTCAGAAGGGATCTCCCAGACCATCTAGTCTGACCCCTGGCACCAGCCGGCTCTGCTCCTGACATGCCTACCATGTGCATGCCTAGTCTTTCCTTGAACACCCTCACCTATGGGGCCTCCACCACCTTCCGTGGAAGCCCATTCCATACCTTCGGGTTCCTAACAGTCAGGAAGTACTTCCTGGCATGCAAGTTGAACCTTGGTTCCTTGAGCTTGGCTCTGTTGGAGTGCATCCTGCCCTCCTCTGCAGGGGAGAACAGCTCTCTACCCACCTCCGTATGTTACCCCCTCATGTACCTGTATGTCACCAACAGATCCCCTCGGAGTCTCCTCTTCTCCAGGCTTAAAAGTCCCAGTTCCCTCAGTCTTTCTTCATATGGCTTTCCCTGCAATCTGACCACCATTCTTGTGGCCCTATGCTGCACTGACTCTAACCTGGCTATATCCCTCCTGTAACAAGGGGCCCACAACTGAACACAATACTCCAGTTGCGGGCACACCAGAGTCACATAGAGTGGCAGTAATACCTCTCTCGATCTAGAAGCCACACTTCTGGCTATGCAACCAAGGCTGGCATTCGCCCTCTTGACCACGGACAGCATCAGACTGCAGTCAACTAGTACCCCGAGATCCCTTTCACACCCATAGATCCCTGCCCACTTCCATAGTCTGTCAAGATCCTTTTGGATCTGGAGTACCTGCTCCTCAGTTGTGGCCACTGCCCTGGTTTTAGTATCTGCGAATTTGATCAGTAGACTGTTCACCCCCTCTTCCAAGTTGTTGATGAAAAGACTGAATAGGATCATTCCCAGGAAAGAAACTCTGGGGGACCCCGCTTGTCACTGACTGCAATCCTGATGGTTACCCTCTGCTTTCACCATCTGCTTTCAACCATGCCCTAATCCATTGGACAGTGCACTGGTCTATCCCAAAACTCCTCAGTTTCTCAACCAGGATATCATGGAGCACTTTGTCAAAGGCCTTGCTGAAATCCAGCGAAACCACATCTGCTGCATCCTCTCCATCTAGACACCTCAAAACCTTGTCATAGAATTCCACAAGGTTTGTCTGGAAGGACCTGTTTTTGCAGAAGCCATGCAGTGTGGCTGCCAATCTCACTTCTCTATCTAAGGTAACTAGATCTCTCGCTATTATGAGCCTTTCCATGGTCTTTCCTACAATGGACATAAGGCTAACCAGTCTTAATTCGCCATGTCCCCATTACTACCCTTTTTGAAAATTGAAGTACTAGGTCCTCTATATGTAGCACTAGTCAGACCTCACCTACAGTACTGTTTCCAGTTCTGGGCACCTAAATTTTAAAAACATGCAGAAAAGCTAGAAAGGGTGCAGAGGAGGGCATCAAGGTTGATTCAGGGAAAGGCAAAGCCTTGTGAGGAAAGTTTCAGAGGGCTGGACATATTCGGCCTCAAGAAGAGAGGATTGAGGGGAGATACGTTAGCACCTGAAAGGCTCTCACAAAGAGGAAGGACAAGATCTCTTCTCTTTCATTCTAGAGTGCAGGACACAGAATAACAGACTTAAATAACAGGCTTCAGCAAGGGGCAGCATAGAAATGTAATAATAATAATAATAATAATAATAATAATAATAATAATAAATTAAAAGGAACTGGATTTAGACAAGACTCCAGGAAGGATTTCCTCACTGTCAGAGCAGTATGACAATGGAACCTGTTACCTGGGGAAGTTGTGGGCTCTCCTTTGCTGGAGACATTCAAAAAACATTTGGATAATCATCTAATGGTGTAATTTGGTGTCCTGCAATAGCAGGAGTTTGAATCCAATGGCCTTCTGAACCCTTCCAACTCTACTATTCTATGATTCTATAATTTCTGCTAGTGGAATAACACACTTCAATAATATCTGCTGCTTTCTATGACATTCATGAAGTATTTTCATAGAGAAAATTGTGGCAAGATTCTCTTCCTAAAAAGTTATAGATCTAATTTCTTTGTGGGAATGTTTATTCAGTTATTAAGAATGTATGATTTTTCTTATTTTTCCCATTTATTTTAATGTGTCTTCTTTAAACAGGACAAATGTTGATATGACCCATTACCTACTGTCTCTTACTTTTGCTGAAAGCTTCCGATGCAATATTTTATCATTCATATTTCTTTCAGAGCTGAAGTTTTAATAGCACTTAGCTCAAGAAAAACGCTGACCTAGTAACAATGTTTTACACAGCTTAAACTGCATGTAACTTGTTTTATAATTCACACATATTTCTTCTTAACATATCAAAACTGAGGTTACAAAGCAGTGGTATAGATTTTAATACTCATTTTAAAACACGAGTAAACTAATGCTGCTTACCAATAGGCTTTTCCTTGCCCCCTCTTAGTTTCTAAGGTGTTGCTCTGTTGTGTCCAATGATATAGTGCAAGAAGTTGTCCACTTGTCTATAGAATCTTTCAAGAAAAACCAGATTGTCAATTTCTGAATTTCAAACTGAGAAGCAGAAAAATGGGGATACAGTGGTATCTTGGCTCACAAACTTAATCCGTTCCATGACTCTGGTCACGACCCAAATTGGTCGTGAGCAGAGCCAAATGTCCCCATAGGGTTCAATGTAAATAAGATTAATCTGTTCTGTAAATATTTTTTTTAATCACAGGAAGACAGGCATGATTGCGGGTGCACTCAGGCAGGGAACACAGGTGCGATTGCAGCCATCTCCCCCCACCTCATGACCATGATTGTGCCTGTCTTCCCTGCAGGAGCGTGACTGCAATTGCGGCCATCTCCCCCCGCCCCCCCTCAGCATGACCACAATCGTCACCCGATGTGGAGTTTGCGACCTATTTTTTTCCTAAATTTCTGTTCGCAACCCAATTTGGTCATGAACTGAGGCATTCATGAGCTGAGTTACCACTGCACCTACATCATTAGGAAACAAACAAAATCTATGGTTTAACCAGGTAATTTTCATTTCAGTCCAGGATCATAGGATTTACAATGTAGATAGCACTGGCAACCTAAAATTTTGAATTCTTTCTTCACTTTTAAGGATACTGAGTTCATATGAAGAATTCTTTTATATATATATATTTATTTTAAGCTCATGTAACTGTGATCTCTGGAGTCAGTGCTGTAGGATCTGACCAGGACCTTGCCCATCTAAGCTATCCAACAATTTGGAAAAAGAGTATTTCAGAGTAATCTGCAGAACAATATGAGGCAGGAATGACAGGGACGCTTTTAACTGTAATACCTCTCTGTGTCCCTTCTGTGACATAACTTCAGCTGTTCTCTGAATGTCACAGTCTGTTAGAACCTCTCTACTCTTATTGTGTCACCATCATTGTCTAAAACTATGGTGACTAAGCCAGGTTCCACAAGACGCAGTCCTCTATTGTAACAAGTGTCATATGAGTAGGAGATATAATTAGAGAGAGAATTCTATCTCTCTCCTATATATGTCCACTGTGAAATAAGCCCCATGAAGTTTCTCCAAACTTAGAATACAGTAGATTTTTAACTGACTGAAATTCCCTCTTCTGTGCAATTATAATAGTTCTGTACCTATCCTCTTTTGCACTCTGACTCTAAGAAAGTGGATATAGGATTGCAGCCTTGGAGGAAGTTATTTTGACAAAAAGGATTACAGTTCAATGCATTTTAAAGAAGAGTTTTCTAGGCAGCTCTAAGTGTTCTGTCAGTGTAGAAGTGTGTCTCTATCTGAGCGTGTATGGGCACAATCCTATGTATATTTAAGCAGAAAAAAGTAAATCCTACAGCTCCAATTCTGCTTTGCGCCTTTCTACTCATGCATAGGATTTGCCCTAGGTTACTTTAGATTAAGTTTAGATGCTGCAAAGAAGGTGGGAAGAAAAACAGAAAAGAGGCAGATTTTTGAGAGAAATGGGTTTTCCCACAGACTGAATCACAGAGTAAGGGTTTCTTAAACAGTTTCTTAAAAAGAAGCTGTTCAGCAAGTGAGTGGTAAAGTAGGTCATGGCTCACCAACTGCTTCTCTCTCCTTCTCCCTATTGGCTCATCTAGTACTGAATTCTAAATAACACACTTTCAGGGGGAAGGAAAGTTTCATTCTGAGACTTTGAGTGGTTGAATCAAGTTCAGCACATGAGTTGGACTCTGTGGCCTGATGGAAAATAAGGTAAAAAAAATCCATACATATTTTTAAAAACTGAAAAGGCTAAATTCTGCAAGATTGTTTCTCAGATATTTATTAACTAGATTGAAATACATTTATTTTCTGGACTGTGCTATAATTTACTGCAGTTATAAGTTTATTGTGATTGGTTATAACATGGCAAAGCAAGCAATAATGGGATATATTAGGAGGTTCTGTAGGTTTAAAGGTAAAATTCTCCTCTACATGCTTAGCCAGGAGAAAGGTGTAGAAATCCCAGTATTCCTCAAACAGCACAGCTGGCTGGCAAGGCTGTGAATTTTTCTTGACTAAATATGACTAAGATACTTATTATTAGAGACATCAGAAGTTAAATTGGAGGACTAATTCTTCTTAAGGAATACCAAATTTTTATTAGAATATCTCTGAGTATGTAACTATTCTTTGGTGTTAAAGCTTTTTTGATAGATTCCTTAGTTCATAGGTAACTATGTATTTCCTCTTCCAAATCTGTTGTTTCCAATTTTAGTAGCCTCTCATTAGGATTTATGTTTAATCTTTAATCTAAATCAAACTGGCCACATAGTAATATAATTTAACATTAGTTACTGTGAGGCCTCTTCTCTCTTTTTCATCTTGTAAGATTTTACACCTGATCTTTGGCTTTTTCCTGTTCCAAGTGAAAATATTCAATTGTCTTTGCCATTCTTGAAGGATTTTTCCCTGTATAAAAATGGGTAGAATTTGGAATAAAAAAATTAATTTAGATAAGACACTCATTTTTATGATAGAGATTTTTCACAACCATGTCATTGTTGTAAGTTGCTCTGAATCTTTGTCCAGATTATCTTATAATAATTATATTGAAATAGTGTATCATTATGTCGTCACATTTCTCGCCTGATACTTAATTGGTGGGTTTTTTCTTCCTGTTTCATTACACATTTTGATATAATTTTCATTTTCCTCTCCTTGATTTATAACTGGAAGATCCATTTTTTAAAAATTTGGTCTGTTATATGTTGCATTGATAAATGTGGATTTAAAATAATCAAAACTGCATCATCTGCATCATATTTCATTCTGTATTATTAGTTGCTTTCAGGCCCTTAGTTTTTGGATCTTGTCTTATTTTCGTAGCGAAAACTTCCAATATGAGAATAAATAAAAGCGGCAATAGTGGACATCTTTGACATGTTCTTTTTTCTCTTTGGAAACTTTAATGTTAATGTTCCTTTTATCAAAATTTTCATATGTTGTTTAGTATATATTACCCATATCCAATTCATAAAACATAGTCCACACTCTAGATGTTGAAGAATTTTCAATAGAAAGGACCAAGACGCATTATCAAAGGCCTTTTCTGCATCTAAAAAAAAACAAGATAAACACCACCTTCTTTTTCTTTACAAACTCAATTGCATTGATAACAAAACAAACATTATCCTTCACAAGTCTCTTCAGGAGAAAGCTGGTGTGATCTGTGTGAATCTGGGTTGTTAAGGATTTTCTTAATCTTTCTGACAATATTGAGGTAAAAAATTTATAATCCACATTTAGTAGTGAGAAAGGTCTGTAGGACTGCAGTTGTGGGATCATCACCTCCCTTATGTAGCAGTCCCGTATGATTACTGTTGGGATCTCACTTGTGCAATTTAGTTTAAAAACTCCAAATCTTTTCACACTTTTTCAAATCTTCTTGTAATAAAAGATTATCATTCAATCTCCCTCTTCTCCTAACTTGGACTTCTTGACAAATTATTTCTAGTGGATTATGGTCAGAAAGTATCTTTGGTTGGATTTTCACTGTCTCCATATTCATAATTAATGGTTTTGACACATTAATTAACACTTGTTAATTCTTGAATTTGGTGTCTATAAGAAAAAAGGAGTAGTCTCTAACTTTTGGGTTTTCAAACATCTTCCAGTTGCAACATCTCCATATAATTAAAGGCATTTTGTAGGGGTTTACCCCCTTTGATTTTTGTTTAACTTGTCTTTGTTTGGTTCTATGAGTCCATTGATATCTCCAAGAATCAATATCTTTCCCTCTTGAAAATCCAAAAAAATTGAAAAAAGTTTCCATAAAACTTAACTATGAAAATTAAATTAAAATTAACATGTCAGATTAAAGTGAAAAAGGGCATATTAAAATAAGTTTAATGATATTTGGGATGTATTTATTGAGTATGATTTTAAAAAGTGGAAAGAACCTCAGCCTTCAAAAGAGTCATTACAGTGTTGCAAGGGGGGGATGTCCTGAACTGTTTGAATGAGGTTTTGTTGTTTTGTGATTGCAACATGTATCATTGGTGCTGGTTTTGATGGACACTGTGTTGCAAGAATTATTTTAATTGTATGTTTAAATTTATTTTTTCCTATTTTAAAAAATTACAACCAGAACTCAAAAAACAGGTCCACCTGTCAATATCCATATGGAGGGGTAAAAAGAAAAAATAACTTCCGAATGACATTTTCAGCTTGGAAACATCCTCCAGTAAAATCAGTTCCTGTCAGCAATCAGAATTTGCTACTTAGGACAAACTGCCATTTTTCCCCACTGTTCAAGAGACAATCTCTATTTGAATATCTGGGCCTTGTAAATTGCTGTTCCTGTTTTATCACTGTTACTGGTCACTGGGAATGCCTTGTTAACATTTTGTTAGTGTGAGTTGCCAGAGTGGAGGATGCATCTTGTCTCAAGTGAACATAATTATAAAATGTGCATTAATATCAAATGGGCAAGGAGCTGGAACAACTCTCTGTTAGAGCTGAAATATCTCTTTAGTATAGAAATTAGGTGAGTCAGACATGCCTCTAAATCTATTGAGGATAAGTCTGTCAATGGCTATTAGCTATATTGCCTCCAGCATCAGAAGCAGTATGGCTCTGAAGAACAGTTGCTGGGGAACACTGGTGAAATGGTCCTATTACATTCAAGTCCAGCTTGTGGATTTCTCATGCTCATGTGGTTGGCCACTGCAGAAAACAGAGCATTAGTCTAGCTAGAGCTTTGATCTTATCCAAGCATGGTTCTTCCTATGTTTCCTGGGAGTTATGAGAGGGGTTCTGTTTTTATCTGTAAAATGTAGAAAGGTGTACTGGTATTATTTTCAGTATTTATACCACCTGCTTAAGAATTCAGCGCTGAATTGATTAAGGTAAAGAAATGCAGGCAAAAGGAGGCTTCAGTAATGGACAAGGAGATGCTGTAGTTTTGGTAGTAATCCAGGTGTGATAAGAGATTCTGAAACGGCACAAGTGTAGTTACTTTCATCTGAAATATTGGAGGCTATTAGGGTGCTTCACCTCATTTCTGTTTGTTCTTGGTTCACTTTCTGAAGATACTCTTAATAGACCTCTTTAACTTGGAAGAGATACATGTCAGCTGTCCTGTTTCATGGCTAGTGAGCAGATGCTAAAAACCTGAGAAGTCAGCTAACTGGGGGTAGGATTGGAATTGCCTAAAACATTGCATAATATTTGCATGTGCTAATTTCTGTGAATAGATACACATTTTAAAATAATTACTATAATTTAAATAGAAATACAGTGCATCTAGCTTGATGGAGATCCTCTATACTTCACACCTCAAAAATTTAAAGCTGGACCAGACATTGCCTATATTGTAAGCAACTGACATACACTTTACAGAATTAAAATAAATAGGCACCAATCAGAGTCCTGTGGCCAGTAGCCAGTTTAGGGGGAGGATTCATCAGGATCACATATTGTGCAGTAGTGATTCTGTCTGTGATTCCCTGAAGTGACTTTTCTTTTCTTTTCTTTTCTTTTCTTTTCTTTTCTTTTCTTTTCTTTTAACAAGATACTTATTCCAGGTGTTCATCATGATACAATCAATCTGAGAATGTAGCCTGTAAACTATGTAGGGCTCAAACAATTTAAATGCAAATATCTTTGCATTTGGAATGGAAAGACAATACCTTGAATAGAATATACCAACATACAAGTGCAGAGCACAGAATGACTCCCTGTGTACTCCTCCCAGAGCTTAAGGGAGCTCAAGTTATGGTAACTTACTGTTGATACATTCAGAGCTGGGTTGAGTTTGAAAGGAAGTGGAATTATTTTATTTATTTATTTATTTATTTATTAAAACATTTTTATGCCACCCCATTTGCCGAAGCCTCGGGGCGGCTTACAACAATAAATTAAAATAATTATAATCTTAAATTAGAGAGAAGCGGGTATGAAGAAGCCAAGGATGGAATCCTATGGCCTCCTGACATCATCTGAGAGGCCATAGGGTTATTCAGAATCTCAGCTCCAGGATCCTGTGATCTTGGAGCAAGGACTTCAAAGGCCAAGCTCCAACCACTCCCTCCCTCCTCTGGCATGGAAAGAACCACACTGGCTGCTCCTTCCAGACGCAACTGGGACTCAGAGGGGGAAGAAAGGGGTGTCCCAGCAGCCAAGGAAGGGAGCAGAATGGAGCCATGGACTTGGTTCTTATTGACATTCCAGCCTCCTTCACTCACCATCCCCAGTGCTTTATCAAGATGGCTGAAAACAGCAGTCTCAATAAGATTCCCAATGTGAGGCATGGTAGAGATGAAGACTGCTGCTTCAGTGCCTCATTCCAGGCATAGGATACATATAAGCATCCAAATTTGGAAGGTAACATATAACAAGGTTGTAGGGTATAGGATTGCATCTTAAATATTCAAAGTCAAGCACACCCCTTCTACCAGATTAGGTCTAAGCTCTCTGTTCTGTTGTGGTTTTATGTAAATGTTTTTGTAAAAATTGGAGATCACTAGAGAAACCCTCCCAATTTTGTTTCCTTTGTTTTTAGGAGTGCTTTTTTACTGCTGCCCAGCACCTTTTGAATGATGATTGCACCAAATGTGCTTGTGGTTTTATTCATGTTCTTCTACAAGATCTACCCAGTCATCCTTTCTCATCACTGTTCAGCAGCTGCAGGGACAGTTAAGTATTATTGCTAATGAAATAATGGAAGACAGTAGATTGTCAGATTTCCCAACTCTGTTGTCAGCATGCTGTATTTTTAATAAGCAAGCAATATCAATATGATTAAGAAAATGTTAAAGAAGGCATCAGTATTCAATTATCAGTATTCAGTGATGTCTGTGTGCCCATGGGATGCACTACATCTTCCTTCTAAAGCAGTTGAAAATAAACTTAAAGACTTATTTGCAGAATGGAACTGATCAGTGTGAAGAGCAAAAGAGAATTGCACTGAACTCCCCCATTCCAGATAGGGGCATTCTCACTCGATTCTGTAGTTGCTCTAGGAAGCAGTGCCTTTCTGTTGTGGTAGCAGTGAGTCCTGCTGGCATGATGTCCTCAGCAGAGTCACAGCAGCAGCATAGGATGCTGTTCATTGGCAATAACTGTAGAATTATGTAGAACATGTGGGATTGGGCCTTATCGCAAAACAACAGATAGGCATAGATCAATGCAGATGTCAGTGTAACTGCATATTAGTGAAATGCATACTTTAAGACTGCAGTTCTGAGCACATTTTCTTGTGGTGCTGGAGAAGACTCCTACGAGTCCCTTGAACTGCAGGGAGGTCAAGTCTTCGAGGAGCTTAACCCTGACTGCTCTTTAGAAGGTCAGATACTGAAGATGAAACTCAAATACTTTGGCAACCTAATGAGAAGGAAGGACTCCCTGGAGAAGAGCCTAATGCTGGGAACAATAGATGGCAAAAGAAGACGGGGATGGCAGAGAATAAGGTGGCTGGGTGGAGTCACTGAAGCAGTTGGCATGAGCTTAAGTGGACTCTGGGGGATGGTGGAGGACAGGAAGGCCTGGAGGAATGTTGTCCATGGGGTTGCAATGGATGCGACTTCGCAACTAACAACGAAGTTTAATTAATTCAGTAGGACTTGAATGTGTGTGTGTGTGTGAGGGAGGGACTGGCTACAAATGAATGTTTTTCCTTATAATTGTGTGGACAACAAAGCACCATAAATGGTGTTCTCACCCAAACAGGGCTCACCTAGATAATTTGACAACAGCAGCAGTGAGATACTTATGAAGGATATTCATGTTGTTCTGAGAATATGCAGGGTCCAGGAGTGAGATACTTATGCCTAGTGGCTAATGCAAGTTGAAAGTGACATGTTGTACAAATGCACCATTCCAGGAAGAGCATCCTGTCAGTACAGATGTTATACCTAAAAATAATTTTGTCAGCACTGGTGCAAATCTATAATCTGATTTGTAAAACAGCAATTAGACTTTCAGTAACTTAATTTACACAGCTGCTTCCTTTTTGATCAAAGTCACATAAAAGGTAATTTTACCTTAGTCATGTGCTTATTCATTCATTCATTCATTCATTCATTCATTCATTCATTCATTTAAAGCTTTTCTATACCATCCTCTTACCAAGGGTCTCAGGACAGTCTTACAATAAAAGCAAGTAAAGCACAGTATCATCTTCTATAAAATCCCAATTAAATGTGCTTGTTGGACATTTAGTGTAAGGTATGCAGAATTAATTAATACAGGTATCAAGATATTCTTTGCTGTTTCTTGGCTTAGACCTTCAACATGATATTATTAGAAGCCAGTCCTGCCAGATAAACTATACATGTTGTGGGAGTTCATGTTTTGGCACCCTAATGCCATGGGTTGATCTATTTCAACTCTTCCTTCTACTAAACACAGAGGAAAATCTATGAACCATCCAAATTTACAGCAGCTGGGTTCACATGACACAGTAGCTCATTGTGGGAAACTAGCCATGGACTGATTCCTGTGGGGTGATCGGTTTGTGAACAACAACCCACCCCAACAAACCATGGTTTATCCGAGGGTGCTTTGTGCCCACAATAGGTTGTCATGTTATCTGGACCTGAGCAACTGACCCCATTGTGCATACAGGGGAGCAATGAGTGACCAAATCAGCAAGAGCAGCAAAAAAACCCAGTGAAGCAGCATGCTGGAATGATCATCATTTATGCAGTATTCCCCATAACATATGTGACCCGATTTGGGCTCACTGTGACCTCCCCACACTACTGGGTGTTTTTTCCTCCTGGAGTTCACTTTTTGCAATCTCTGAGGTCATAGCCAGTGATGGCCCCTTTTCAGGTGTCCAAGAATGCAAATATTTGCATTCTTTTGTTTAAAAAAATGGTTCAGGTTGGTCTTGCACAAGTCTGGAGATGCACATTTGTTGGAGACACCAATGACTCAGGAAGATGCAAATGATTTTATTTTTTACATTACAGTTTCTTGATATCTGTCAAAAGATGAACTATCAATGGAAAACAGAGCTGTGAGAGATCTTTGCTCACAAAAAGGGGATGAAGAATCTTTTTCCTTTCACAGTGAGATCCTCAGGGTTGTTAGTGTTCTTTCCCTAACTGCCAGTACTTCCCCTGTTTCCATACTTTTCAAAGACTATGTGCTCAAAATAAGGCTTCATTTTAAAACAGGGATTTAGACAGGGCTAAACAGAGTTGCTTTAACAAGCACATTCCTATGCATGTTAACTTCCACAAATCCCAGAATTCCCCAGCCAGAATGTCTAAATATGCATAGAACTGTACCCCTAACATGAATGTGGCCTTTGCTTATTCCACATCTATCCTAAGCTTTAATGTGGCCTCATTCTTGCTTCTAACCAGAAATTGCAATTCACTATCAATGCAACTTATTCAGTTTGCAGTGGCTGCTCTATCTTTCCCAAACTGCACGTAACAGATTTCAAGATTTGATGAATACCATTGTAATAATATGACCTGATACTCAAAACAGTGGAATGTTTTTTTCAACATAATTTCTTAGAGACTTATAATAATTAATTTTTCCTCTCCTCCCAGGTCCTATACTGTGTTATGGGCATGTATGGACAGAACCAGCAAATATCAATCAAATTGGGCAGGATATTTCTATCAACTGCCATTCTGATAAAGAATTTTGTGAAAATGCCAAAATATATATGGACCTAAATGAAGTCCGTGTTGAAGACAGCAATTTGACAGTTATAAACAAAACTACAGTTCAACTTCAACTTCATAATTATGGAGAACCATTTTCTAAAGTGGTATGCAATGTCCAGTGTTCTAAAACAAGGGTTGTCATATGTGGAACACAATTTTGCATGGGCTGTAAGTAATTTATGTATATACAGTATGGGTTTTCTTTTAGTTTAAGATCATTTCAATTAATGTGGAATAGTCACAATTATAGAGAAGACTGACATTCTGGAGGTGGCATTGTGTATTATTATTTTAAAAATACCAATTTAGAGTTTTCATCTTATACTTCAATAGACTTAAACATTCTAAACTCAGGAAGCAAGCCTCACTGAATATATTGGAACCTACTTTTGAGTAAATCTGCATAGGATTTCCTATTAAGTAGATTTACCATAGTGTAAATTTCACTGGCTAAACATACTATCTTACACAAGCTCAGACAAAAAGAATTCCTACAACTTGCAACATACCCCAACCACTTAGGGTGGGATTTGTAGGACCTTTTTCTGTCTGAACTTGGCTAGGATTGAAAATTAAGTGACATATGCAGCCCAATCTTAAATTGATTCAGAAGTAACATCCACTGGGTGCAGTGGGGCTTACCCCCAGCTAAATATATACAGGACACCAGTGTTATTTCCAATGGGATGCTACCATGGTCAATAATAATTTCAGCACATCCTGCTACTTGTATAAAGAAACAAACTGTACCAGTACCAGTTTCATCATCAAAAGTAAAAGTCCGTCCATGTAGTGGCTAGCCAATCAGCTCCCACCTTTGTTCCCCAGCAACTGGTATACATAGGCATACTGGAGGTTGCCTGTTGCCAGTCAGGACTGACAGCCATCAACAGCCATAGCCTTTGTGAGTTCATCCGATTGCCTTTTAAAGCTTTCCAAATTTGTGGGCATCATGGCATGATGTGGAAGTGAATTCTACACATTTGCAATGTAATGTATTTTGCAACTTTTAAAAGTCCTTTGCTGACAGTCATTTTGTAAAACTGGTGATCCCCTCCTGAACTGCAGACCTGTGAGTGAATCCCAGTCATTTCAATGGAACTTTCTTCCACATTAAGACTGCTTAAGATCATTCTTTGTGTTGTCCTTTATTTTCACAGGAGAAAAGGCATCGTTGTGCTTAAAATTATTTGCAAAAAGTACTGTTTAGTCTGTGATCCTATAGACACTTACTTGGTGATAAGTTCTATTGAACTCAGTTGACATACAGTAGACAGTAAGACTTGCATAGGACTCTATTGGTAGAATTATAATAGCTACCATTATAAAGTATTTGGTTACTGGGGGTGGGGCAGGTAGGCATTAACTATCCTTATGCATTTTGAACCCTCATAACCTAACATGCTCTGTAATTTGTAGATCTGCCGGACAGGCCAGCCAATTTAGCCTGTGTCATACAAGAGTACTCTGATTGTATGATATGTACTTGGGATCCAGGCAAGGACACCTATTTAAACACTAGCTACAACCTATATTTGAAGAGGTAAGACAGGTTGCTTGAAGTATGCATCTCAAACCAGAAGCACTGCATGAAGTGGCCTTTGTACCATGGCAAGTCACCTAAACAAATTGCAAAAGAAGAGTGAATTAGAGACAAAGAAATCTCACTAGTTTGTTTCTCAGTGATTCTGATGTAATGTTTTGCATGCAGGCAATCTTTTGGACATTTCCTTTAATAAAGCACACAGCAATATTTGCCTGCTGTCTTGAGGCACAAATAACACCACCACAGTCAAAATCAGTATGCACTGATTTTTATTATATTACTCCCCACTTCAACATGGAAGTTGCACAAAAACTGGGTTCACTCAGCAAGACAATCCACACTTCTGTTCGCTGAGGTAACAGTTGTCACTTTTTTTCAGATGCTGTGTTATGTACATATCCCTGTGGCTGGAATGGGTTACATTGTGACAAACAAACATTTATAAAATTGAAAGCAGCTGCAGGAGGCTGAATTTTTTTTTTAGTAAATTACAATGGGCAAGGACAGCATGTTTAGTTCTTTACCACCAGTCATTTTGTGGCTCAAAATATACTGGTTTAATTGTTTCAGGGTGCCAGATACTTTTTTCTAAAAGCAAATGGAAGAAGGAAGCATCTGGGGTGGATTTTTAGTGTGAAAATGTATAGCAAGAACATATATCTAACCACTGATCTGCTCAAAACAGCCTTGAGGATCTGATTTTCACTTAGAGAAAACCAAGAAAATGTTGGGGGTTTATAGCATGCACTTGCCTCTAGTATCAAGTCTATCCTTAAATAGGTTAGTTGCAGGTTCAACTAAGAATGAATATATGACAATGCTGTGACTGTGCTTGTGGTCTGCCTATGTGGACTAAACTGGTGGTTAGAGACAGCACCACAAACCAAACACCAGCTTACCCATTCCGTAGGTCTGTTGACTGGAAATCTGAAGTGTCCTACTTACATTTTTGAAAGACCTGTCCTAATTCTAATCCAAGGAAATAACAAAAGAGGTACTTTTCTGTTACCACTGATAAAACACATCATTATTACATAATTGCTATTAGGCTGGAGAACCTGCTGTTCTGCCTTAGCTGAATCTCTCTGATTTAAATCTATGTGACTTTAGTACACCTGGGTCATGCTCAAAATGCAGGCTTGTGCAGTTGTATGGCTTGCTATAGTATAACCCTGCAAACTCAGGTGTGGTGGTGAACCCTGTTCCATTGCATGCATTGAGGTAATCTTCAGCTGCTACTCCACTAGGATTCTGTATGTGGCATGGAGGGAGCACTAGATTGTCCTTTGCCTTAAGCAGCTCATTTCTCGGGTGGGTCCAGGTATCATATTCATACTGAATATGTTTAAATGTTGCTTTATTAATGGTCACATGTTCCATAACCTGTTAATGTTTTAAAAGAAAGCTACGTTGGGTTTTTATACTTACAGTGGAATGATATGGTTTGATCTTTATAGTGTACAGACAAAAGAAAATAAAACCTTTAATGCAAACAGTGCCTTGAACGGTGTAAACATCCCCCTGAACCAACTGCAGAAGAACCAGACCTTTTCTGTTTCAGTCTGTGCTAAAAATGCACTGGGCGCTGCCCATTCAGATCAGCTGCTGGTTGAACTCCACAATATAGGTATTTGATTTTTTTTAATTGCTGGTTTTCTTTTACCCTACTATATAACTAAAGTGATAAGACTGTAATCTTAATGAGAGTGTCAAAATGAAACTAAGACTGTCAGGATACAGTTCCATAAATGGAAGTAGGATAGCTTTTAAGATTTCCTGCCAGTCTTGTCTCTTCCAGCAGGCCTTTTCATCCTGGAAATGGGTTCTAGATCCACTGAGTATGAGAAAAGCTTTTTGCAAAGCAGTTCAAGGGAGGAGGCAGGACATACACTGAGAGCAGCAACATGCATGTATCTCACTGTGTGGGGCACAGGGTATAGGGGAGTGACAGGCATGAATTTGAGCTCTCCCACAACAGTGGGTGTGGTGGTCCCAAGCACCTATGACAATTCTAGAGAAAGAAGTGTGAGCAGGGTACTCAAGCTGTGAGGCCAGACTATTTGGGGAAGCACTCTCTGTTTGCATGATGTGTCCTTCTCTCTCTCTCTCTCTCTCTCTCTCTCTCTCTCTCTCTCTCTCACTCACACACACACACACACACACACACACACACGTATTTCAGAGCTCCTGTTTGTGGGCTTTAAGTATGCATGTGTTGAGGCCAGGGAAATAAGGTGCCATAGTGTGTCCCCTATCATCTGAAGTGTGGTCTCTCTGGATTAGGTTTATATACTGGTGGTGGCTGTCGGCTGTGAGAACTGGTGCTGTGACTGACAGATTTCATCCTTGAGGTCTTTAACTCACCACCTTACCAAGGCTTCTGCTTTCAGAGTCTTTGCAGGTTTAAGATTGGCTCCTTTACATGCCCCCTACCCCCCAGGCCTCTGTTCCATTGCACAGTCACAGAAATTCAAGAGGATTTTGTAGCCATTCAGAAATATGACAGACGTTCCATATTAGGATAAAGCAAATACTGTAATGGTTGCAAAGCATAGGAGAGTCCCTGGAGGATGAAGACATCAGGCAAAGCATCCACAAACTACCATGAGTGAAGAATACAATAAACACCTCATACAGAAAGGCTTTGTGTGATAAATTCCATCATGCCTTAATTTCAGTGCTACAGACTGAGAGCAGCTATGCTACCAAAAGGGAGAAACTTTTCTTGTGCCAGGTCTGGGTTTAGCATAAAGTTGCACCATCAATATCTGTTCAGTGAGCATATATGCATTTCTAGTAGTGGACTGCTGTCTGTGTGTGTGTGTGTGTGTGTGTGTGTGTGCGCGCGCGCGCGCGCGCATTCTATTCTGGGGAGTTGGGATCTCCGGGAATCGAAACTTGTTTTCCTGACATAGTTCCATCAAAAAGAATCCTCAGTTTTGCTAACCCTTGATCTAACATAGTTAGATAGTTTCATAACATATTTTCATAGTTGACTGAAATAGAAGGGGGAAGGTAAGAAAGGTAAGGTTTTTGTATGGTTTTACTGTTTGTAACCCACCCAGGGGACCATTTGGTGGGATGGATTGTTGTTGTTGTTGTTGTTGTTGTTGTTGTTGTTATTAACAGCAGGGTGACAGGGTCTAAGGAAGTAGTGTTTCCTCTAGCCCAGAAACTCCACTTCCCACCACAGGATTGCTCTGGCCAACAGAAAACCCTGCAGTATTAGGTTGAAAGATTGGTTAGAGAAAATAGAAACAGAGTTAGTCAGAAGGGTCCTCCTAAGCCATCTAGTCTGAGCCCTGGCTCTAAATAAAGAGTAAAGAAATGATACAAGCAATACTGGGACAGGATTAAGTAAATTGGCATAATATACTTCAATTAGATTATTGGACTAAAGATTGGTTGAAGAAAATGGTAAATGTAGAGAATGTACTAAATTGGAAGATATGATTTTTCAGAAAGAAAAATAAGATATGTGGATGAGAGGAATGACAAATACAATTTATAATAAAGTTACTAGAATGTGGACGATTGATATGATCCTCTTAAAGAGTCTTGGAAAATAGATTTAAAAAGAAACATTACTATTGAAGAATGTACTAATCTGTGGGATAAGAGAATTTTAAAATCATCTCAGTAAGAAAGATAATTTTTACAAACTGGTTTGGAAATGGTACTTAACTCTGGTTAAACTGAATTATATGAATAATGAATATTCCAACATTTGTTGGAGATACAGCCAGGAAGTGGGTACATATTTCCATATGTGGCAGAAATGTAAATATATAAATGAGTTTTGGGAAATGGTTTTCAAAGAAATTAGTAAAATATGAATTTAAATATTAAAGCTGACCCTGGACTAGCATTATTGTCATTATTTAGAGAACAGATACTAAATACAAATACTAAAGAATTGATGATAAATTTATTAACAGCAGTAAGATTAATAATAGCAAAGAACTGGAAAATAAAAGGTGATTATCAAATAGTTGGCTAATATAAAGAAGTCTGGAATATAACTATTAATGATAAGTTAACCTGTGCTATTAAATGGAGAAAAGGTTTGATAAGTAAAAATAATTTTGAGAATATTTGGAGACTGTTTATTGAATATGTTTTGATAAAGGAAAGGGGTGTGAACAATCACAAGACTCAGTGCAGTTCTGGAAAGGGTAGTGGAAGTGGAGCAACCTGAATGACTTACATTAAGTGACTTGATCTGTTGGTCCTTGTGGAGATAGCACTGGTATTATTGTATTTTTAATTAAGTTTATTAGTAATGTTTCATTGTTATTATATTAATTGAATTGTTTTTGCAATAATAATAATAATAGGAGGAGGAGGAGGAGGAGGAGAAGGAGAAAACCCTATCTATATCTATGATGTTGACCTGGAAGCTTGGAAAAAATAAACTTTAAGGTCTGCCTTTTTATCAGCTTAGACAGGATTTAATATTCTTGTATCTCCTTTAGTGATACCAGCTTTACCTGTTATTACCCAGAATAAAACTATAGACTCTCCGATACGTAAGACTATAATGCAGTGGGAAGAGCAAAGTGCATCCAATGAGACTTCTTGTGAAGAGCGATACAAGGAGATGGCAAGTGAAAAATGGCATGTGAGTCAACCAGTTCTTGTCTGTGTTTCATGTATCAGTAGCAGCAGCTGATCACTCCTCCTCATTGATGTCAGTATTATTATTCTTTGCATTACTATACTGCCCATAGCCAAAGCTCTCTGGGCAATTTACACCATTAAGTCACCCTCTAGGTTTCAACCAGGCCTAACTCAGTTTAAGCTTCCAAGATTAGCAAGGTTAGGCAGGTCAGGCTCTACAGAGTTCAGCAGTATCAACAGAACCTGATTGGAAGGAGAAGTCACCACAGGAAATCATACAGAGATGCAGAAGAGGCCTCTCTGATGGGTAGAACACTATCATAGAACACTATCTGGGAACCGCTAATTCAGGCTGAGGACAGATTACATGATTGGATTCTGCTGCTTCTCCCTTTAGGTTCGAGAATGGGATGCAAGTATACAGAGGATGCATCGCACAGAGTACAACTTAAATGCAAACACAATGTATGAGTTTCAAGTTAGATGCAAATTTACTCATGTTGGAAGCATTTGGAGCAAATGGAGTGAATCTGTTGTATACAAGACTCCAGAGGCTGGTGAGTTTTACAACTCCCACATTTATTTATTTATTTATTTATTTATTTATTTATTTATTTATTTATTTATTTAGGTCATAGACCATCATAAACCAATGTGGGGCAATGTAATGGATTAAACAATGCTTTTCTATTACTCCTACTAAAATAGCAGTTTAAAATAAAAACAAAAGATAAGCAATGGACACTAAAAAAAATTAAGAGAGCTTGGGTCACATAACTAAAACACATAATGCCACAAACATATAGAATGGTAGTACCTATAGAACTTTTGTTTAAATCCACTGCAGTTTAGTTGTTTGAAATGTATAAATTTATAACTAAGTAGCATAAGATTTTCTTAGCCTCAATATTGCCCTGCAGAAACTGGCTACTTGATGCATGATCTTAGGAACTTTACCTGATAGAAAAAACTCAAGTTTGGTTTTATCAGAAAGAATCAGATTATCCCAAAAGAATGCAATGATGAGCTCATTACATACTTGTTTGTAATAGGGACACAATTAAATCAATCAATCAGTCCCAAAGTTTCAGCCTCCCCTGTCTGGCAAGTATGAAGCCTTTCAGCAAAGGGGATGTTCTTGTACTTGCCTTCAAGAAGAGCAGAAGGAAGTACCTGAAAGCACCTGGCAAAAGTAAAGGCCCTTTAGCTTCCAATGATACCAGATAGTTTGCCAGTTCTGCAAAGTATTTAACATTTATCCTAGCCATTATATGATAAGCTGGCATGATCAATTTGATGTTCCATATCCTTGATTCTCTGCTTAACCAATTGTTTAGCATGATCTAGTTCACAGAAGAGACGCATTTGAGGGGAAAGACCAATTATCTGCAGATGGCTCTGAACAGCCTTCTGCCAGTTTGACTGAAAGTTACCATGAAATACCAAGAGGAAAAGGCCTTGTGGGTTACGATGTCCATTTAACCACATAGATAGATAGGTAGATAGGTAGATCGATAGATAGGATACAGACCCAGGCTTTGACTTTCATATAGCCTGTCTCCAATCTCACCCTAGCATTTGACACATATCTAGGGACCTGCAAAATGTTTCTTAGAAACATAGACTGGACTCTTTTCTGTGGAGCAAAACACAAGCTGGTTGATCCCATAAAGGAACCATAAAGCAATTGGACCAATGTCTTGCTTTATAAAGTTTAAGAGCTGCAGGGACAAAGAAACCCAATTGTGCTTGGTGAAATTCCACAGTGTTGTTTGTGGATCTTTCTCCTTTGCCTGCAGCATAATTACTGTGTTGCAGTGTAGAGCCTGAGGCCTGTAGGACCACTCCCAAATATTTAAAGCTATTGGGTGATTGAATATGATTGCCATTAATCAAACATGACCAGATCTTCAGCCTGTGCCCAAAAGCAACTATCTTAGTTTTCTGATGGTTGATTTTAAGGGATTCATTTTCACAATTTTGGGAAAGCTTCTACAGAGTCCTCCTCAAACAACAGGAGTTCTAGAAAGCAGCATTGTGCCACTGGCATATAATTGAACTGATACAGTCCTATTGACAAGTTTAGGAGAGTGATGCACAGGTGAATTTAGCCAGCTTATTGTATTATTTATATAAAAGATAAATAATGCAGGTGCTAATAAGCATCCTTTCCTAATACCTCTAAAAGTTGGAATGGGTTCAGTAAGATGCCCTAGCCTGCTACATTTAACCCTAAGAAAGGTTTGCTCATGTAGGGCCCATAAAAGGCATAACAGCCTTCCATTGATGGAGGAATTGGCTAGTTTGTCCCAGAATGTCACTCTAGATACAGAATCAAATGCAGATTCAAAATCCATAAATCCCTCATAAAGAGAGATTATTCCCTTAGAGGAGTATTTCTCAATAAGATGTTGCAAAATCAAACATTGATCTACTGTAGATCTCCCTGGCCTGAAGCCTGCATGTTCTGCCTTTAAGATATCCTCTTGCTCTAGCCAGTCTAGAAGTTTGTCCAGCAAATGCCTCTTACTTATGATGTTCAGTAAACTAACTGGCCTATAATTTGAGGTGTACTCCCTCCTACCTTTTTTGTGAAAGGGAACCACTATGGTCAATCTCCAAGATCTTGGATAGGACCTGTATCATTGATATATGTAAGGTGGGGGGCAGGAAAGAGGCCCACCAGCCCTTGCTTTCTTTCAGGAGTTCTGGTGGAATAGCATCATATCCAGGGGCTTTGGCATTCTTCACTTGATCTATATACAATTTGATCTCACCTGAAGTGACAGGTGGCCATTTACATGTGTTTTCTATTGCTGTTGAAGGGGGAAGTTGAGTTGAAGGAGGACACCCATTTGTTTGGCATGATACAGGAGGATGTTGAGGATTTAGATCTTGAAATTCTACCTTCAATTAATTTCTCAAACAGGGCTACATTTTTTTTGGCTGTGCAGCTTCAATCAGTTTCCCTCATGATTCTCTTGTGTATTTTTTTTTTTTTTTTTTTGCTTTGCTAAATCTGTAATTTATACTCTCTTTTTTGAATCAGTAATTTTGTCAGGGCTTCACTTTCACCCTGATCTACACTCAGATATTGCTGATACTTTCAGTCTAGTGCTTTCTTCACTACCACACAGCTATGTCTGAACCATGGTTTAGAGCGGTTAAAAGATTTCTGAAATTCGGCATTGTGTAAGTGAACAAGATAAGAATTTAACTTTTGTGTAAGGTTTTCATAAATGGTTTAAAGGATCTAGAACAGTTTTGGGATTTCCTGGCAAATATTGAGAATCTAGCAAATTCGGTTAGGATTTATTTAGGCTTTGTGCCAGATTAGGTGACCACCTTACTTGACAACCGCATCTTTCTAAAGGTGTATCTGTCACAACTGTCACATTCTTGACCTCTTAAGTGTAAAGAAGGTTGCAACTGAAAAGCTTCAAGCAACTAGAGATGCCATAAGGCAGCCAGAATGGCCCTCTGATCACTTCCTCCTTGTCACTTGACTCAAATAGGTGCTATAAAAATATACCAATGACTGTGTCCTTGTTTCCTGTGTCATTTTCATCATTTCCACAGATATATAGTTCTAGAAATATTGCACATGTCACCATATTGGGGCATTATGAATGTCAAAAGTCTAAGAAAAATCCCCAGGAAAAAGATCTATATATGCAAAAAAAATCCTATGAGTTTTAGTTTTACAATGCAACATGAACTGAAAATGTCTGAATACGGTAGGATCAAAATGATTGTGCCTATCCTGCTCTTTTGGTAGAGGAGTCAAAAACAACCTCTTCCAGTTCAGCTTGTATATGCAAATGAACCCCATTCACAGCACAAATGCACACATGTCTGTTCAGAAGTAAATCCTCTCAAGTTCAATGGGGCTTATCCCCAAATAAGTGGGAATTGGGTAACACCTTAAGCATCATACCTAAACAGTGTTTGTGGCATGATTCCCATAAATCCACTGAGATTAAGCTTCACTGTTGTTTTTAAGAACTACTTCTATTTTGTACCTACCAGTTATATAACTAAACCGTCGATGTTAGGAAAGAGCTAATTCTCCTTTCTGCCCACTCTTGCCCCCTAAGGGGCTGTGAGGGGTAAAGAGACAGTGAGAAGAAATTAATTGCTACTAAAATAGAAGAGTTTCCCTCAAACCTGAACCAGGATAAACTTAGATTATTAAAAATAGTTACCTCTGAGGGGCATGGAAGATCTATGCTGCAGGAAACAGTGGAAAGGCATAAACCGTGGCTTTGCAAAGTAAGCAATTCTTTGCAAGGAAAAGTGTCATCACCTGCCAAGAGATGCTGAGAAGGTGAGGTGGAACCCTGGCCTGTCCAGCCCTCACCTTTCTTTATATTTTCTCAGCTGCAAATGGAAGTCTTAGACCATGAGCACATGTCATTTTTGTTGGAGCATTAGTGACCCCTCCTGACAAAACTAGTTATAAATCTCAAAACATACCAGCTTCTGTTTCTTGTCTTCTTTCTTTTTTCTTCTTTATTGGTTCCCTTTCAGGAATATGCCCCACTGTTTACCACTATTTTTTTGCAAGGCTCTTGAACCATTAACAACTGCAAGGTGGGCAACAATTCATCAGGGAGAGCTATCCCTGCTGGAAAAGCTACATCTGTTAAATGTGTTAACTTTCAAAAGGACAAGCCAGACTGAATGTGGAAGCATTATGAAAGGGAAGTAAATAGATATTGACTACAATTTATTTATTCTTTGGGTTTTCTTTTTTAAGTGTCAAAATGACCTGGCTGGACTTGAGTACTGTGCACCTTGACTTGAGTTGAGGTATGGCCCAGAAGCAGCAAAATGTGTTGCGGCAACTCTTAGAAAACACAGATGAGCTTTTGGACCCTCAACACAACATATTTGTATTTCAGTTGAAATCCTGAATGTATTGACAGAGCCTTTCAGCTGGTGGCTCTGTGCTGCTAAATTAAGAATTTTTTTTATAAGCCACAGTATTATCAGTTGGGTTCCAAGGCCAAAGTCACTGAGAAGACACATCAGTTTTGGAGGTGACTTCCCTGCCCACTGACATGGCCAGAGAATTCAGAAGTAGTTCCTGACATCTGGACAGGATCATGCAAGAGGTTCAGTGGGAGGAACTTGCAGGTCCTTAAGGGCTCCAGCACATGAGTGTTGCTATGCTGAGCCTCTGATATGAAAGGGTTGGTCCACGCCATGGTGCACACTGCTGTTTTTGCCCAATGCTATGAAGCCAAGCTGAAGACAGACATAACATTTTAAGGCTGTGATCCTTTCCTTGCTTATTTAAGAGTAAATCCAGTTGAGTACAATGGGACTTACCTTTGCTTAGGCATTTACAGGATTGCACTGTTTGACGTAGATGTGCTTGATAGCCAGTTGCTGCCCTCCAAACAAATGTGCACATTTTCTGCTCTGAGCCAGGCTCTAAAAATGACACAATATGTTGTAGGATGCCAATGATGGATGGCTGTGATAGACAGATACTATTTCTAAAATGAGGAACTGATATTTCCAAGTGTACGTATGTGCATACCACTTTAAGCTTTTCTTAAGGGGTGCAGAAGTGGTGGGACAAAACTGAAGCTGATGCATCTTGCTATAGAAAGCAAACAACTCATTCACCCAGCACAGAATGTGGTGGCTTTTCTATCAGTAACATAGGTTGCAAACCTGGGATCACATCCTGAAAGAAGAACCAGTTGTGATCTTCCTTGAAATGTTACATGTCTCTTACCACCATGAGAAATGTTAAGGGTTCCTGCATTCACAAGCTGTTGCCATCAGGTGTCAAGGGGAAAGTGGATCATAACTCCACTATCCACAAGGAACCTACATATGGAGCCTACATAGTGACAATGAGTAATATTTTTAGAGTAGGTATTCCTTCAAGTATAGTAGTAGACTCCACTGCTCTCAAAGGGGATATTTTCATTCTCCAAACCACCATGCTTCAGCATGAAAAAGCAGAACATTTAATTAGCTCTGAATGTTTATACCTGGGATCCTGCAAAAGATACATATGCTGTTTACTTTACATGCAAAGCAAGACTACAAGTAATTTAAGAAGTCATACTGTTTCCCATAATGTTCATCTGAAATCAGGTCCTCTTTTGTTTAATGCAGAACCATCTTCAATACTTGATGTGTGGAGGTATCTGGGACCAACTTACCAGAATGGTAGCCAAGAGGTGACCATCTTGATCAAGGTGATGCTGTTCTCCTTTCCAGTTTACAGCCATATCAAAAATTGCAAAAATCAAAATTGCATCTTTTCATTAAGGGAAGGAGTAAATCTTAAAAGCTGGAGCTGATATTGGTCTTATTTTCATGAGTATTTTCGTGAGTACAGAAGAATATTTTACAATGACAGGTAGGTTTCTCAATTTGGAGCCAGTACCTGGAAAATTCATAATGGAATTATATGTTTCATTAATTATTTGTGCTCTAAACAGAGAAAATATTTAATCTCATAATGGGAACAGGAAAACTTTCTTCTCACTTGACTGATGAATATATAAACACTAATAAAAAGACAGAAAGAAACCCAAGCAGTATTTTACTATGGTGGGGGGAAATTGAAGAGGTGGAATAGGCATCTAGAGGTGGAATAGGCATCTATTGTTGAATGTGGGCCTCCAGAGCAGCTCTGTCTGTTTAATCAAATTTTCACATTAGACATTGTGCTTTCAACGCTGTCCAAGCAAACAAATGCTGTTTAGAAAACATTATTGTTATGCTATTTCCTTAGCCATTTCTTCCACATGAGAGCAGAGGAAGAATTCTGGGTTATAGAATATTCTATGAATGCCAAGGAGAAATGATAGATTTATGTCAAACAACAGAAACAAAATGCAAAGTGTTGGTGCCTCCAGCTGTGACCATTGTCTATGTGACAGCACACAATTCGAAAGGAAGTTCTAGTCCAGCAAATATTACAATGAACCAACAACCCCAACATTACCATGGTAAGCTAAAGCAGTACATACAAACTTGTTAGAAAATGGATGTTGCATTGTTATATTGGGTTAAAGAAGAAAACATTTTGATGGGACATTCTGAAATTAATTTCTCCACCTATTTAGACCCCCACTTACTTTAGAACTAATTTTACTCCTGGCTTGCACCATGTAGAAGCAGAAGTTGTCAAAAACAAACAAAGAAACCCAAAAACAAACCAAGCATACATGACAAATCCCAGGTTCAGGGGCACCCATAAGCATGAAATCTAGGGCAAAAGTTGACATCTAAAAATATTACATTTTATTAAAAAATACCTGTCTAGTCATGTCTATTTCAAAAGAACTGTTTAGAAGCAACAACTATTTCATTCAGGTTCACTTGTTGACACAACAAGATATCTAATACAGTTTTAGCTCTTTACCTTCATCAACTTAGGTTATAAGCTAGTCTAAAAATGCTAGGTCAGAACATCGACTTTAAAAAAATAACAATATAAAGGTACTCTCTGGGCAGCTTCTGGACCTTTATTAAGCTTGTAAATTGCCCATAACTTTGATGAGCTGCACTGGAATGTGTGTGTACAGACCTATTAACTATATCTTGCTGGGCAGGGAGTACAGGAGTAGGGAATGCTGCAATACCTTACATCTTACCTGTGGATGACACCACAGGTAAGAGGCTGAGGCTGGCCTCTCCCATCCCCTCTTTTGGTCATTGAATGGAATCAATAATATTGGCATTGCAGCTGACAGCAAGCCAGGAGGAGATGGAGATGTTCTTGCAAGATGTATTATTTGCTTGACCCTTGATGTGCTTCCAGAGAGAGGGGTCCTAGCCCTTATAGTAAGGAGGCAATGTGCAGCTAGCTAGTCTGCCATTATTCTTAACAGGTATTCCATGGTAAGAAGCATTACAGAAGGAACATTGGGAAAACATGGGATAGGGTTTATAAGTAGAAGGTTATGATATAGAGTGATGGCAGGATAAAAGCCTTATCTAGAAGTGCCCTTGGTCTTACTTAGTCTTCCATTATGTACCCAGAAACACTCAACTAGCTGATAAACATGAGGAAATTAGTCACAATCCTACATGATGAATTTTCCTGCTGCAGAAAGGTTAGACTCAGTCAATCACATTCAGTCAAGCAAACAATCAAAGCACAATGTTACCAGTTCAGAAAAGGGGCATCCCAAAAGTAAGATCATATTAACAGTTCAGGAATCTGCAGCATAAGAGGTAAGTCCAGGGAGAGGCAAGATTTCAAGGCAGCAGAAGCCGAAGTACAAGTGTTGTTTCAGTAGCTAGCAGGTTATAATTCAAGACTTCTCTAGTCATGTCAGCCAGTCCACACCCAGGTAGAGGTGCTTTATGGTTTCCTTACTTCTGAACAGACTCTGGCTCTTAAGTAGGCAATTATTCTGAAGTAGTCCAATTGCAGCAGTTTTGGAGACATGCACTTCACATTGGAATAGTGGCCAGTATTTCCTTCTTTTGGTGCAGGCATCCTTTCAGGGTCAGCTAATGCTCAGTCTCCTCCTCAGACTGTACGGGGAATGTATGTCCCTCAGGATCTTGTACAGGGTTCCTCAGAGTCCACCTTTGCTGGAGGACACACAGTAGTTGCTCTGGAGATGCTAAGAGTTCTCATAGTTCCAAGAGAATCCACAGGTTGATTGGACTCCACGGCATGTCCAACTCCTCATCTAAAGAATTCATCCTGGCTTGGGTCTGGTTTGGACATGACATAAATTTCCAATGTGCTGAGAAATATAAACTGTCTGCTCTAGTTCTATTCTTTACAAGGTTCAAGAGCATTTCTTAACTCTTGCCAGACATAAGTGATTTGAGATATCCAACTCGTAGTATTTCTGTAATGGGAACTACATCCAAAATAATAAGCTGTTATGCCATCCCTGCTACTTTCCTTATAGATTCTCTACCTCCTACCAATATGCAAATAATTGAGGATGAACATAAAGGAATTTCTGCTACATGGGAACCTCCGAAATCCATTGGAAAATCAGTATTATGGTACATAGTGGAATGGACACCAGCAGATTTCAGTCACAACATTCATGGCATTATGTGGGAAAAGGTCCCTGTCCAGAACACAACAACTTATGTCAAAGGTAAAATGCTGATATTGCTGTCGTTCAGAGCCATCAAGATGTCCGTGACTTAAATGAATGTCCTGCAAAATGCCCTGCCCCTGACAGTCCTGCTGAGGACCTGTAAACTCCAGGTTGTACTTCATTTCTGGATTTGTTCCTTTCCATAGTTGGTCACTTCTTCTTTTTCTGTCTTTGACTTGCCGTAGCATCATTGTCTTCTGCAGTACATCTTGACTTCTCATGATGATCCCAAAGTACAACAGCTTCAGTTCCGGCTCGATTTGATCTAGTACCTACTTGTTTGTCTTTGTGTTAATCCAGGATATCCACAAGCTCTCCTCCAGCACCATGTTTGAATGTATCAATGTTCTTCCTTTTCCAAATTTACTCTGATTTTTTTAAAAAAATTAATAGTTTATACTCACTACCACAATTGGCTCCTGGTCTTAGAAACATAGAACAGAGAAACAAAGCGAGCCAGAATGGGTCTCCTGAGCCATCTAGTCTGACCCCCAGCTCCAACTGGCTCCACTCATGCCTAAAATGTGCATGTCCAGCCTATCCTTGAACACCCTCATCAATGGGGCTTCAACCAGCTCCTGTGGAAGCCTGTTCCATACCCTAGGGGTCCTAACTGTCAGGAAGTACTTCCTGGTATTCATCTTGAATCTTGGTTCCCTGAGCTTTACTCCACTGGAATGTGTCCTGCGCTCCTCTGCTGGGGAAAATGGGTCTCCGCTCCACTGGAACAGGTCTCTGCCCACCTCCATGTGGCACCCCCTCACATACCTATATGTTGCCAACAGATCCCCTCAGAGTCTCCTCTTCTCCAGGCTGAAAAGACCCTCCTGCAGTCTTGCTTCATATGGCTTTCCCTACAATCTGGCCACCATCCTGTGGCACTACACTGCACTCATTCCAAATTGACTATATCTTTTCTGTAATGTGGAGCCCATCACTGAATACAAACTGTGGGTGCACCAGAGTTATATAGGGTGGCATTAATACCTCTGTCGATCTAGACGTCATGCTTCTGGCTATACATCCAAGAGTGGTGTTTGCCTTCTTGACCACCACATCACACTGCTGACTCATGTTTAGCCTGCAGTCAACCAGTACCCCGAGGTCCCTTTCACAAGTGCTGCTCTCGAGACACTTGTCCCCTAACTTGTACTTATGACGCCCATGCCTATGCCCCAAGTGCAAGACTTTGCACTTATCTGCATTGAACGCCATCCTGTTGTCCCCTGTCCACTTCCATAGTCTGCCCAGGTGCTTCTGGATCTGGAGTACCTGCTCCTCATTTGCGGCCACTGGCCCACTTTAGTATCATCTGTGAATTTGATCAGCAGACCCCATCTCCCAGGTCACTGATAAAAAGATTGAACAAGGTCAGTGTATGATAGGGACACTCCTGTGCATGGCCCAAACCTGCTGCTTCTGCTTTTGGATTTTGTTTAGCATTATTGCTCTAGAGCAGTGGTGGCAAACCTATGGCACATTTGCCACAGTGGGCATGCAGAGCCCTCTCTGTTGGCAAGCAAGCAAAGTCACCCCAGCATCACCCCAGCAGCCGAGTATCAGATAAAACCACATGTATGAAACATGTGCATGATAGGAAAGCAGTAGCGGCACCAGGCAATGATGTCATGAGCCACGACTCATTACCCATGACTCGACTGAACTTTTGAATGGCCAGTCAGTGTGCTGCCAAGTGTGTGTGTGTGTGTGTATAAAAATATATGTATATTTGCTTGGACTGGCTGTGGGTGCTTCTTTCTAAACTAAAACCTCAGTTTTCAGGTTTTATTGCAATGTTGGCACTTTGCGATAAATAAGTGGGTTTTGGGTTCCACTTTGGGCATTCAGTCGCTAAAACGTTCATAACATTAGGTTCGGGTTAAAAAAACAAGGTGTCCTGGCAAGATTTTGATGGTTGGAATGTGTTTAGAAGGGGCAGACATGATCAGCTGTGCAGCGATAGGTACTCAAGGAAGGCATTTTCAAAATTGCCCTATTTTCAATGGAACTCTCGCCCTGTATTAGAATTAGGGCTGTGCCAACAGGGTAGGGTTAGGGTTAGAAAAATGAGGTGTCCTAGCATGATTTTGATGGGTGGAATGTGGTTAGAATGGGCAGAAATGATGAGCTGTGCAGAAATAGCTACTCAAGGAAGTCTTTTTCAAAATCTCCCTCCTTTCAATGGAACTTTCGCCCTAAGGTTAAGGGTGTGCACAGGGGTAGGGGTAGGGTTAGAAAAATGAGCCGCCCAGGAATGATTTTGTTGGTTCGAATGTGTTTAGAATGGGAAGAAATGTTGACCTATGCAGAAAGAGCTACTCAAAGGAGACATTTTCAAAATCTCCCTCCTTTCAATGGAACTTTCACCCTATAGAAGGGTTAGGGGTGTGCACCAGGGCAGGGTTAGTGTTAGAAAAACGTGGAGTCCTTGCTTGATTTCAATGGTTGGAGTGTGTTTAGCATGGGCTGATATGATGAGCTGTGCAGAAAAAATACTCAAGGAAGTCTTTTTCAAAATCGACCTCGTTTCAATGGAACTTTCACCCTATACAAGGGTTAGGGGTGCACACAAGGGTATTTATTTATTTATTTATTTAGAATATTTATATGCTGTCCTGTCACAAAGACCTCAGGACGGCTTACATAAATAAAATAATATAAAGCATAACACAAATGAATTACAGATCCTCACTTGCTGCAGTTAAAAACATATATAAACCAATATTAGAAGTTATTAAAATATTGTTGGAATAAAAATGTCTTAACCAGGCACCAAAAAACAAACAACAACGGCGCCAGGCAGACCTCTCTGGGGAGCGCATTCCATAGACGGGGCGCCACTGCAGAGAAAGCCTTTCTCCAGGTACTTTGCCTCTTAATATCTTTCACGGATATTAAGGGCCTCTACTGTCAATCTCAGGGGGCGGGAAGGCAAATATGGAAGAAGATGTTCCTTTAGGTTTTCAGGTCCCAAGCCGTTAAGGGCTTTATAGGTAATAACCAGCACCTTGAATTGTGCCCAGACTTTGATGGGAAGCCAGTGTAGCTGATAGAGGACTAGGGTTATATGAGAATAATGCCCAGTTCCTGTCAGCAACCTGGCTGTTCTATTTTGCACCATCTGAAGTATCCGAACTGTCTTCAAGGGCAGCCAGGCAATCGTTCTCCAGGTAGGGACACAGCTGATGGATCAGTCGAAGCTGAAGGAAAGTGCTCCTCACCACAACCGTCACCTGAGCTTCTAATGACAGCTCAGGGTCGAGGAGCACTCCCAAGCTGCGAACCTTGTCCCTAAGAGGGAGTGCAACCCCATTCAGGACAAGGTCCATGTCCCCCACCCCGAAGCCCGAACCACCTACCAACAGGACCTCCGTCTTGTCTGGATTGAGCCTCAGTTTATTGGTCCTCATCCAGCCCATTACCTCAGCCAGAGACCGGTTCAGTACAGCCACTGCCTCACCTGGATTGGTTGAAAACGAGAGGTAGAGCTGGGTATCATCAGCATACTGATGATTTTGCAGCCCACACCTCCTAATGACCTCTCCTAGCGGTTTCATGTAGATGTTGAATAGCAAGGGGGACAAAGTGGACCCCTGTGGAACTCCATGGCATAACTGCCATGGCGCAGAGCCAAAGTCCCCCAGCACCACCTTCTGGAATTGGCCATTGAGATAGGAGTGGAACCACTGCAAAGCAGTGCCTCCAACTCCCAATCCCACTAGCCTATCCAGAAGGATACCATGGTCAATAGTATCGAAAGCCACTGAGAGGTCCAGGAGAACCAACAGGGACGCACGACCTGTCTCTCTCCCTGCACAGGTCATCATACAGGGTGACCAAGGCAGATTCAGTACCATACCCGGGTGTGAAGCTGGACTGAAATGGGTCCAGATAATCAGTTTCATCCAAGAGTGCTGGAGTTGTCCCGCCACCACCCGCTCTAACACCTTGCCCAGGAACGGGATGTTGGCCACCGGTCTATAATTGGTGGCCATCTCTGGATCCAGGGATGCCTTCTTTAGGACTGGCCGGACTACCGCCTCCTTTAAAGGGGCAGGTACCCAGCCGTCCCTTAGAGAGGCGTTGACAACCTCCAGGATCCAGGTCCCTATCCTGTCCTTGGCTTTCTTGAGTAGCCAAGATGGGCAAGGGTCCAGTAAGCAGGTGGTAGGATGTACTTGTCCAAGCACCTTGTCCACATCATCAGGCCATAACAACTGAAATTCATCCATCAATTTGGACCAGACGGCAACATTGGCACCTCCCCCGAAGGCTCTGAATTACTAGTGGAATCCAGCTCATGACGAATCTAAGTGATTTTCTCCTTAAAATGCTTGGCAAAGTTGTCACAGCGGGCCGTCGAGGGCGGTACAGGGTCTTTCTTGAGGCCAGGATGAACCAGCCCTTGTACCACCCGAAAAAGCTCCGCCGGACGGCATTGTGAGGAGGCAATGGAAGCAGAGAAGAATTTCTTCTTTGCTGCCCTCACCGCCACAGCATAGGCCCGATAATAGGCTCTTAAGTGTGTTCGGTCAGATTCATCCCGTGATTTCCTCCACCTATGCTCTAGTTATCTCCCAACCTGCTTCTTCGCCTTAGCTCGGGTGTATACCAGGGGGATGAATGGACTCTGCCAGGCGGGAGAGGACACTTAGGAGCAATCGTGTCAATAGCCCTGGTCCTTTCCCCATTCCACAGTTTGACCAAGGCATCGACAGGAGCACCAGCTTTATCAACCGGAAAATCCCTCAGAGTCTTCAGGAATCCATCTGGATCCATCCGGCTCCAAGGGTGGACCAACACAATAGGGTACGCACCCTTACAGAGGGAAGGGCCGGCATCGAGCTTGAACCTCATGAGGAAGTGGTCTGACCATGACAAGGGAGTCAGACACAAATTCTTCACCCTCAGATCACCCTCTTCCTGCCCCATCAAGAAAACCAGGTCCAGCATGTGTCCACGTTCATGGGTTGGGCCTATGACATGTTGAGACAGCCCCATGGCTGTCATGGAGGCCATGAAGTCCTGAGCTGCCCCAGTCAGAACAGTCTCAGCATGGAGATTGAAGTCCCCCAGTACCAACATCCTGGGGGTCTTCAACACCAGGTCTGAGACAATCTCCGTCAGCTCAGGCAGGGAGTCTGATGGGCAAAAGGGTGCACGGTACACCAGCAGAATTCTCAATCTGTCTCGGTCGCCCAACGCCAGGTGTAAGCACTCTAGACCTGGTCTCAAAAGAACAGGAAGCCCCGCAAGGGAAATAGAAGCTCGATAGATTAAAGCGACCCCCTCCCCTCCCCTCTGGGCATGGCTGGTGCTGGACCAGATACCCAGGTGGGCACAGTTCAGAGAGGGATACATCCCCCCTCTCCCTCCCAGGTCTCTGTAGTGCAAGCCAGGTCGGCCCCCACATCCTCAATTAAGTCGTGGATGAGGAATGTTTAGTTATGGACTGACCTGGAATTGAGCAGCAGCACCGTCAGGCCTGAGGGGCAGTTCATAAGCATACCCGGAACCTTCCAGTTGGGGGGATAACCAGAAGGGTAAACAGGTGTCAGCCATCTGTCTCTCCTTCTTCTATGCCAACATGTTAAACCCCCAACACCATATCGAACATTGCCCAACACCACCCCAATGGTGGTGCCCACATGCTCCCCAGGCAAACCCATAGTAGCAGCCAAATGTGAATTCATTAAAACAATCCAATAAAATACAATTAAAATACAATTAAAACCCTCCAACCCACCCAATTACAAAACATACACACACACACACACACACACACAGAGTACCTGGCCAGCCCAGCCCCAGCCCAGGGTAGGGTTAGGGTTAGGAAAACAAGGTGTCCTCGCATGATTTTGTTGGTTGGAATGTTTTCATAATGGGCAGAAATGATGAGCTGTGCAGAAGGACCTGCTCATGGAAGCCTTTTTCAAAATCTCCCTCCTTTCAATGGAACATTTGCCCTATAGAAGGGTTAGGGGTGTGCACCAGGGTAGGGTTAGGGTTAGAAAATCGTGATGTCCTCGCATGATTTCGAAGGCTGGAATGTGTTTAGCATGGGCTGATGTGATGAGCTGTACAGAAATATCTACTCACAGAAGTCTTTTTCAAAATCGCAGTCTTTTCAATGGAACTTTTGCCCTATATTAGGGTGGGGGATGTACACCAGGGTAGGTTTAGAGTGAGAAAAATGAGCCATCTGGGAATGATTTTGATGGATCGAATGTGTTTAGAATGGGAAGAAATGTTGAGCCATGCAGAAAAAGCTACTCAAAAAAGGCATTTTCAAAATTGCCCTCTTTTCAATGGAGCTTTCACCCTGTAGAAGGGTTAGGGGTATGCACCAATGTAGAGTTAGGTTAGAAAAAGGAGTCTCCTTGCATGCTTTTTATGGTAGAAATGTGATTCGGATGGACAGAAATGTTGAGCTGTGCAGAATAAGCTACTCAAGGAAGGCTTTTCAAAATTACCCTCTTTTCAATGGAACTTTCACCCTATAGAAGGGTTGGGGTGTGTTCAAAAGTAGTGACTTCCGGTTGACATCGTGGTGAGACAGCTGTGAAGAACAGGGGCTCCCATAATCACGCCAGTAATTTGTTCCACAGTGAGCTGTGAGAGGCTCATCCAAGCCTTGTTGGGGCAGGGAATAGAAGCCCGAGCATACTTCTGGGCGCTGTGGGGTGGTGGTTCCACATTTACTGGGAGAAACTCGGGATTTTCTCAATCGAACAACACAGGGGAGAGATTCGCTCCCTGCAAGCCATAGACAACTGGGTATAGCATAGAATAACAGCTTGAAGTTCATTGGACCTGCTGGGTGAGCATTTCTACCTTTTCTAATATTACCCATGAAAGAACTGAAGCAGATACTAATCGGGACGAAGAAGAAAGAAAAGCCCCCTTGACGGAGAGAGGAATTCCCCTCCCCCACGGAATTTAAGCCGCGACTAATCTAGGGGAGAGGAACTGAGATTTGGGAAATATGAGGCTGGAAGGAAAGGTCTCTTTTTTTTTATCTCCCCAAGGGTGAAGAATCAGAATAAAAAACTTTTGTAGATTAAGTGATAGAAAAACAAACTTTACTTATCTTGACAAGCAGACGTTTTCTTTTTTCAGTCCTCTTTGTGATGTTACATAAAGACAAAATAATTCTTTGTTGCCACCCTGTGGCTATTGGATTTACAACAAGTCTCCTTCCTCTTTTCTCTTGGAGATTTTTTTTTCTTTTCTTCTTTTCTTTCTCTTTTTTTGTTGCTACCTTGCAATTACTAGCAAAAAACTACCATCACTATGAAAAAAACACACTCTTCCTCCTCTTCAGCACCTACATCAGCTGTTCAGAGTCCAACTCACCAGTATAAAGCCGCAGATGCCGAAAAATACCAAAAAGATCTACAAATGACTCTTGGGCGATTCAAACATCTTTAACAGCTATGCAAGCATCCCAAGAGGCTATGCAAAATTCTATATCAAAATTAAGCTTAGAACAGAGGAATATATTAGCAGAACAGAGGAACATGTCAGCTGAGCAGAACTTTGCAAATGAATAAAGAGAACGTCTTGACAAATTGGACAGCTCTATAAAGGATGTATCAAACCAACTGGCAGCTTTTCAACTCAAAACTGAACAGAATACACAAAACATACAACAAGCCCATGAAAAAATTGAAACAGTAGACAAAGAAACACAATTAATAAAACAAACAAGCAAGTCATTATGGGATTCACTTGCTATATTAATGATGGAGAAGGCATCTAATTATCTGAGATTACAGACCATACTCGAAGGAAAGAATGAGGACCTAAGGGAATTAATAATTACTATGCTGGCAGAGGCATTGGATCTGGAAAACAAAGAGGTGGGCATAAACATTGACCTTATTTATAAAGTGAATGCAAGTTATGCTAGGAAACACAAGCTTCCGAGGGAAGTCCATGTTAAATTTGCAAAAAGGTCTATAAGAGACAATGTTTTGAGGGCTGTACATGATAAACCTTTAAAGGCTGATGATCATCATGAAGTGACTGTTTTGAAGCAAATACCATGGAGGATTAGAGAAGGATGAAAGAAATATTTATTTCTTACTACAAAGCTGACTAAGAAAGAGATCATGTTTAGGTGGCTAATGCCAGAAGGAATATTTTTCACCTGGAACTTTTCAAGATACAAGCTGGACTCAATCTTCAAGGCACAAGAGTTTTATGAAAAATTTAGAAGCACATTTGAAGAGGAAGAATTGGTTGCTCCAAAAGAAGGAGGGAAAGGTGCTGAACCAATGGAACTAACAGCATACCACTCTGAAGAAGGAGAAATAGGGAATACAGACTTACAACAAGAGGAACAAACACTGGAACTAAAGGAAAAGAAAAAAGGTAGAAGTGTAAAGGTGAAACATAAGTAGATAAATATGTATTCTTTAAATATGGCTTTCAAAAGGGAAGGAAGAATTGAACTGCTCTCTTTAAATGTAAATGGACTAAATGGACCCTCTAAGAGGAGAATTTTCTCTCAACTTCAAAAACAGAAATTAGATATAATTTGCCTACAAGAAACACATATTAAGAAACAACATAGTAAGCTTTTGGAACATTTTAAGCTTGGAAAGCTATTTATATCTTCCACTTCGCAAAAGAAAAGAGGTTTAGCATTATACATCAAGGAAAAATTAGACCCTAAATGTATATTAGCTGATGAGGATGGTAGGATTCTGATGGTTGAAATCACAATGAAACTTAAAAAGGTGCTTTTACTGGTGATTTATGCCCCAAATGACCATCAGGAAATGTTTTACCAAAAACTACATGCTTTATTCTTACAATTGGACTACCAGACCATGTGTGTAATGGGAGACTTTAATGCAATTGTGGACAAGAAAATGGACCATAAGAGTGAGATTAAGGACAGAAAAGGCAGGAGGCTACTTTCAAAGTCTTGTTCTAATATGATTGAAGAATTTAGATTGGTAGATATCTGGAGACATAAAAACCCAACCTCTGCTAAATATACTTTCTATTTGAATAGACTTAGGTCATGATATAGAATTGATATGGTTTGAATAACCCCAGACTTAGTACCAGACCTGCTAGAAGCTGAAATAGAGGCAAATGTCTGGGCAGATCATAACCCTGTATCTATGTCATTGAAAGGGACAGTAAAAATGCCCAGATGGAGGTTAAACAAAGCCTTATTAAAGGATAAAAAAAATCACAGAATAAGGAAATATGTATTTCTATTGATGCATTTTTGTGGATTGGAAGCCGCCTCGAGGCTTAGGCGAATGGAGAGGCAAATAAGTTGTCTAAATAAATAAATAAATAAATAAAATGCTAATATTCTTTCAAATAAATAAAACTGAAGAAACCTCTTTGTAAAATGTCTGGGATACAGCCAAAGCCTATGTCAGGGGGCTGATAATAACATACTCAGCAAAAATAAATAAAAGGAGAAAGCAGGAACAAGCTAAAATAGTAGAGGAATTGACAAAATGTGAACAAGAACTACAGGAAGATCCATCCAAAAAAGGCCTTAAGGTACAAATGAATATTCTAAAACATAAACTGAACCTCCTGGATACAAACGAACTCACTAAGCAAATGAAATTGACCAAACAGAACTTCTTTGAAAATGTGAATAAACCAGGGAGATGGTTAGCTTATAAAGTAAAGAAGGAAAGAGAGAAGAGACCAATAAGTAAATTGAAGGATGGAGAAGGACGACTGCAAGTACAAAGTATACATATCAAGAAAATAGTGGAAGATTTCTTTGCAAAGCTATACCAGAATGATGAGATTTCAACAGAGAAAGTAAACGAATATATCCAAAAGGGAGACCTGCCAAAGTTACCGGAGCAATACCAAAAAGTATTGAATCAAGAAGTAACAATCACAGAAGTAACAGAGGCAATTAAGAGACAAAAGAATGACAAAACTCCTGGCCCAGATGGGCTACCAGCAGAGTTTTATAAATCCTTTGAAGGAATTTTCGCTATGCTTCTTAAGGATATATGTAATGCAGCATTGTTAAATGCTAAAATACCAAATACTTGGACAGAGGAAAATATTACATTAATACCGAAAGAAGACATGGACTTGATGCAGATTCAAAACTATAGACCTATATCACTATTAAATGTGGATTACAAAATTTTTGCCTCCATAATGGCAGAAAGATTGAAGAAGTATTTAACAGACTTTATTCACTCAGATCAAAATGGTTTTTTACCTAAAAGACAAATAATATGAGAATTATCCTGGACATCTTAGAATATTACGAGATACATACGGAAAAACCAATGGCACTGTTATTCATGGACGCACAGAAGGCTTTTGACAATGTTAATTGGCAATTTATGAAGCAACAATTAGTTCAAATGGAGTTTGGTGAAAAGTTCATTAATGCGATATTAAGCATCTATCAGAAGCAGTCTGCTAGGATTATAATCAATGGAGAATTTACAAATATTATAGATATACAAAAGGGTACAAGACAAGGATGCCCGCTATCACCACTGTTGTTTATATTGATCTTAGAAGTGTTAAACAGAAATATCAGGGATGATATGGACATTAAAGGTACTAGAATTAGAGATGAAAGCTATAAATTGCAAGCATTTGCAGATGACCTAGTTTTCATAAATGTGGAACTCTTAGTAACAATGCCTAAACTCCTACAAAGGATTGAAGAGTATGGCGAGGTTACTGGGATGAAAATAAACAGAGAAAAGACGAAATTGTTAGTAAAAAATCTCACACAGGAGCAGAGAAAAATTCTGGTGGAACAAGTAGACTTTCAGATTGTTAAAAAGGTTAAATATTTGGGAATTTATCTTACAGCTAAGTGTACCACTCTGAAAGAAGACAATTATGATAAACTATTTAAGGATATTAAGAGTGATTTGGAAAAATGGGCTAATTTGCAATTTCCCTTGCTGGGAAGAATAGCACTAGCTAAAATGAATATATAACCAAAGCTTTTGTTTCTATTCCAAATGATTCCCATAAAAGTTGATAGAAAATTTTTTGATGATTTAAATTTTCATATCTCGAGATTTATATGGAGAAAGAAGAAACAAAGGATTAAACTAAAAATACTTCAAGAGGCTAAAAAGAATGGGGGCTTTGGTCTCCCTGACTGGATGCTGTATTATCAAGCTTCTGTTTTAACGCGGCTAAAAGAATGGATAACCTTAAGAAATAAGAGAATATTATATCTCAAAGGGCATGATTTGCAAATGGGTTGGCATGCTTATATGCGGTATGAAAAGGGTAAGGTACATGGTTCTTTTTTAAGTCATTATATTAGGAAATCATTAATGTCAGTGTGGGAAAAGTTAAAGACAAAATTGTATAATAAATTACCAAGATGGCTTTCGCCTATGGAAGCTCTTGTATATCCAAATGCATTGAACTTTGAAGCAATCGTAAGATATGATGACATTTTGGATAATAATGGAGGATTGAAATTGAATCAAGAAATACAAGAACAGGGATCTAATATTTCTTGGTGGCATAAGGTGTAGATACAATTGAGATATGCTAAAGACTATAGAATATGGGGCTTTTATAAAGATTTAACAGCATTTGATCAGGTGATGCTTAAATCAGATGAGAAAATTATTAAAAGACTATATAATTTCTTACCAGACAAGAGAATGGAAGATGAACAGGTTAAGAAAACTATGGTAACGTGGGCACAAAACTTTGGATATAATATTGAATTAGAAAAATGGCAAAAGCTTTGGAAGAGAAATATTAAGGTAACATTAGCAACTTCACATAAAGAAAACTTGTATAAAATGTTTTATAGATGGTATTTGTTGCCAAATAGACTTGCCAATATGTTTCCAAATATGTCAAATGGATGTTGGAAATGTAAACATAAATTGGGTAACTTCTATCATATGTGGTGGACTTGCGATAAAGTGAAAAAGTATTGGATTAAAATACATAAATGGCTTGAGGAAATGTTACGAAAATCCTTAGCTTTTAGACCTAAAGTTTTCTTATTAGGCATTATACCTGTTGATATTAGTAAACAAGAAATGTACTTGATTTTACATCTAATTACTGTGGCGAGGATTGCATTTGCCCAACACTGGAAAAGTGAAGAACCACCTACTGATGAACTGATCCTAAAAAAGATCTTGGACTGTGCAGAAATGGAGAGATTGACTTTGTCATTGAAGGAGAAAGAAGATACTGATTTCTTTCAAACCTGGGACTCTTTTTATTATTGGCTAGAGAAACAGGACTTCATATAGACTCAAATACGTTTTTAAGTTATCACAAAAAGAAAAAATGTGGGGGCTGATACAGCAGGTCCAATGTTTCTGATGATTGATGTTGTTTTTAGTTTTTCTTTGTATTAGGGTTATTTAGAATAAAACTTTCAAATACTTTGGCCACCTAATGAGAAGGAAGGAGTCCCTGCAGAAGAGTCTAATGCTGGGAACAATAGATGGCAAAAGAAGAAGGGGATGGCAGAGGATGAGGTGGCTAGATGAAGCAGTTGGTGTGAGCTTGGGTGGACTCCGGGAGATGGTGGAGGACAGGAAGGCCTGGTGGAATGTTGTCCATGGGGTCGCGATGGGTCGGACACGACTTCGCGACTAACAACAAGAATAAAACTTATTTAAAAAAAAAGGATAGGGCTAGGTTTAGAAAAACGAGGTGTCCTTGCATGATTTTGATTGTTTGAATGTGTTTAGAATGGGCAGAAATGTTGAGCTGTGCACAAAAAGCTACTCAAGGAAGGCTTTTCAAAATCTCCCTCTTTTCAGTGGAACTTATGCCCTCTGAAAGGGTTAGGGGTGTGTGCCCGGATAGGGTTAGGGTTAGAAAAATGAGCCATTCAGGAATGATTTTGATGGATCAAATGTGTTTAGAATGGGAAGAAATGTTGAGCTATGCAGAAAAAGGGTAGGGGTAGGGGTAGAAAAAGGAGGTGTCCTCACATGATTTTGATGGTTGCAATGTGTTCAGAATGGGCAGATATGATGTGTTGTACAGAAATATCTACTCAAGGAAGCCTTTTTCAAAATCACCCTTTTTTAAATGGAACGTTTGCCCAATATTAAGGTGAGGGGTATGCACCAGGATAGGGTTAGGGTTAGGAAAACGAGCCATCCAGGAATGATTTTGTTGGTTCGAATGTGTTTCGAATGGAAAGAAATGGTGGGTTGTGGAGAAAAAGCTATTGGAGGAAGGCTTTTCAAAATTGCTCTTTCTTTTTTTTTTTTAAGAAATTTTATTAAAATTTTAAACTAATACTAAAAACATCAATCATCACATACATCGGACTTACTGGGTCAGCCCCCTGCTACATATTTGTTAACATTCTATAATCATATTCAAATCAGTTTATAATAACTTAAAAACATCTCTAAATCTATGCCAAGTCCCATTTCTCCAGCCAATCATAGAAAAAATCCCAAGTTTGATAGAATCAGTGTCTTCTTTCTCTTTCAGTGATAAAGTCAATCTGTCCATTTCTGTGCAATTCCGAATCTTTCTTAGATTCTGTTCATCGGTGGGTAGTTCCTCACTTTTCCAGTATTGAAAAATGCAATCCTCGCCGCTTTGATTAAATGTAACATCAAATACATTTCCTGTCTGTTAATATCTTCCGGTATGATGCCTAACAAGAAAACTTCAGGTTTAAAAGCAAAGGGTTTTTGTAGTATTTCCTCCAGCCATTTATGTATTTTAATCCAATACTTTTTCACATTATCACAGGTCCACCACATATGATAAAAATACCCACTTTATGTTTACATTTCCAACATCTGTTGGTTGGCGGATCGGGCTTCGGAGAGGGTGGATTTGACCTGGTCCTGAATGGGGTTGCACTCCCTCTTAGGGACAAGGTCCACAGCTTAGGAGTACTCCTCGACCCGGAGCTTTCATTGGAAGCTCAGGTGACAGCGGTGGCGAGGAGCGCTTTCCTTCAGCTTCGGCTGATTAATCAGCTGGGCCCCTACCTGGAGTATGACTGCCTGGCAATGGTGACACACGCGCTGGTGACTTCCCGCCTTGACTTCTGTAATGCGCTTTACATGGGGCTTCCCTTGAAGACGGTCCGGATACTTCAATTGGTTCAAAATAGAGCTGCCAGGCTGCTGACGGGGACGGGGCGTTATGTTCACATGACTCCAGTCCTCTGTCAGCTTCACTGGCTTCCCATTGAAGTCCGGGCACAATTCAAGGTGTTGGTTATGACCTATAAAGCCCTAAACGGCTTGGGTCCTGGTTACCTGAAGGAGCGCTTACATCCATATATGCCCAACCGCCTCTTGAGATCTGCGGGAGAGGCCCTTCTCCGGGAACCCTCCATGAAAGAAATTAGGAGGGTAGGTACTCGGAGGAGGACTTTCTCTGCGGTGGCGCCCAATCTATGGAATGCGCTCCCCAGAGAGGTCTGCCTGGCGCCGTCATTATTTGTTTTTCGGCGCCAGGTGAAGACCTTTTTATTTAAACATCATTTTAATTGTTAACAATATTTGCTTATTTATCTGGCCAGGGCAACTTCTTTTATATTTTATATTTTTTATTTATTTTATATTGTTAAATTTAATTTTATATTATTATTTTTGTATTTTATTGTATGTTATTGTGTTGGAAGCTGCCCCGAGGCTTCGGCAAGGGGCGGCATAGAAATGTTCTAATAATAATAATAATATTTGGAAACATCTTAGCTAATCGACTTGGTGACAAACACCATCTATAGAAAGTTTTATATAAATTTTCTTTATACGAAGTTGCTAGTGTTACCTTAATATTTCTCTCCCATGGCTTTTGCCAATTTTCTAATTCAACATTATATCCAAAATTTTGTGCCCATGTTATCATAGTTTCCTTAACCTTCCATTTTTCTGTTAAGTAAAAAATCATATAATCTTTTAATCATTTTCTCATCTGTTTTAAGCATCACTTGATCAAACGCTGTTAAGTCTTTGTAAAACCCCCATACTTTACAATCTTTAGCATATCTCGATTGCATCTGCACCTTATACCACGAGGAGATATTAAATCCCTGTTCTTGTATTACTTGATCTAGTTTCAGGCCTCCATCCTTATCCAAGGTATCATCATACCTTATGATCCCTTCAAAGTTCAATGCATTTGGATATACAAAAACTTCCATAGGTGAAAGCCATCTTGGTAGTTTATTATACACTTTTGACTTTAGCTTTTCCCACACTGACATTAATGATCTTCTAATAAAATGACTCAGAAAAGACCCATGTGACTTAGCCTTCTCATACCACATATAAGCATGCCAACCCATTTGCAAGTCATGACCTTCAAGATACAAAATTTTCTTATTTTGCAAAGTTATCCATTCTTTTAGCCAAGTTGGAACAGACGCTTGATAATACAACATCCAATCAGGAAGACCAAAACCCCCGTTCTTTTTGGCTTTCTGAAACATTTTTAATTTAATCCTTGGTTTCTTTTTTCTCCAAATAAATCTCGAAATTTGAAAGTTTAGGTCATCAAAGAATTTTTTATCAATTTTTACAGGAATCATTTGGAACAAAAACAAAAGTTTAGGTAATATATCCATTTTAACAAGTGCTATTCTTCCCATCAAAGACAATTGTGAATTGGCCCATTTTTCCAGATCACTTTTAATATCCTTCAATAATTTATCATAATTATCTTCTTTCAAAGTAGTACATTTGGCTGTAAGATAGATTCCCAAATACTTAACCTTTTTAACAATCTGCATATCTACTTGTTCCTGGAGTCTTTTTTTTTTTTTCTTCCGTGAAGTTTTTAACTAACAATTTTGTTTTTTCTCTATTTATTTTCATCCCCGTAACCTCACCATATTCTTCAATCCGTTGTAAAAGTTTAGGCATTGTTACAGAGGGTTCCTCCATTATGAAGACCAAATCATCTGCAAATGCTTGCAAGTTGTAACTTTCATCCCTAATTCTAGTACCTTTAATGTCCTCGTCATCCCTGACATTTCTATTCAGTACCTCTAAGATCAAAATAAACAACGGGCAACAACGGGCATCCTTGGTCTTGTGCCCTTTTGGATCTCTATAGGGCTTGTAAATTCTCCATTAATTAGAATCCAGGCCGACTGTCTTTGGTAAATACTTGATATCGCATTCATAAATTTTTCACCAAACTCCATTTGGGCCATCTGTTGCTTCATAAATTGCCAATTAACATTAACAAAGGCTTTTTGGGCATCCATAAACAGTAAAGCCATTGGTTTTTCAGTATGTATCTCATAATATTCTAAGATATCCAAAAGGGTTCTCAGGTTATTCTTCATTTGTCTTTTAGGCAAAAAGCCATTTTGGTCTGGATGAATAAAGTCTATTAAAAACTTCTTTAGCCTTTCTGCCAATATGGAGGCAAAAATTTTGTAATCCACATTTAATAATGATATAGGTCTGTAGTTTTGAATCTGTGTTACATCCATATCTTCTTTCAGTATTAGTGTGATATTTGCCTCTGTTCAAGTAGTTGGTATTTTAGCATTTAACAGTGCTTCATTACATATATCTTTTAAAAATGTAGCAAAGATTCCTTCAAAGGATTTGTAAAACTCAGCTGGCAGACCATCTGGGCCAGGGGTTTTATCATTCTTTTGTCACTTAATTGCCTCTATTACTTCCGTAATTGCTACTTCTTGATTCAATAGTTTTTGACATTTTTCTGGTAGTTTTGGTAAGTCTCCCTTTCAGATGTATTCTTTTACTTTCTCAATTGAAATCTCCTCCTTCTGATATAACTTTTAAAAAGTCTTCCTCTATTTTCTTAATTTATGCACCTTGTACATGTAGTTGTCCTTCTCCGTCTTTCAATTTCAAAATCAATCTCTTCTCTTTTTCTTTCTTTACTTTATATGCTAACCATCTCCCTGGTTTATTAGCATTTCTGAAGAAATTCTGTTTGGTCAACTTCATTTGCTTAGTAAGTTCATTTGTGTCCAAGAGTCAATTTGTGCTTTAAAATATTCATTTGGGCCTTAAAACTTTTATTTGATGGATCTTCCTGCAGCTCTTGTTCCCGTCAACTCCTCTACTATTACTGCTCACTCTTGTGTTTTCTTTTTATTTATTTGTGGTGAGTATGTTATTATTACTCCCCTGGCATAGGCTTTAGCTGTATCCCAGACATTCTGTAAAGATGTTTCTTCCGTTTTGTTTATTTGAAAGAATACTTGCATTTCTTTATTTATCTTTTCTGTAATTTTTTTATCTTTTAACAACGCTTTGTCTAGGCTCCATCTGGGCGTCCTTACAGTTCCTTTCAATGATAAAGATACAGGATTATGATCTGCCCAGACATTTGCCTCTATTTCAGCTTCTATCAGATCAGGTACTAAGTCTGGAGTTATCCAAACCATATCAATTCTAGACCACGACCTATGCCTGTTTGAATAAAAAGAGTATTTGACAGAGGTTGGGTTTTTGTGCCTCCAAGCATCTATCAATCTGAGTTCTTCAATCATGTTGGAACAAGACTTTGAAAGTACCCTCCTACCCTTTTTTCCTTTACTGTCATTCTTATAATCCATTTCCTTATCCACAATTGCATTAAAATCTCCCATTACACACATAGTCTGGTAATCCACTTGTAAAAGTAACGTATGTAATTTTTGGTTAAAAGTTTCCTGATGATCGTTTGGCGCGTATATCGCCACTAAGAGCACCTTTTTGATTGTAATTTCAACCATCAGGATCCTACCATCCTCATCAGCAAGAATATATTTAGGGTCCAGTTTTTCCTTAACAAACAGTGCTAAACCTCTTTTCTTTTGAGAAGCAGAAGATACAAACAATTTTCCTAGCTTTAGACATTCCAGAAGTTTAACACTTCGTTTCTTAATATGTGTTTCTTGTAGACAAATTATATCTAATTTTCGTTTTTGGAGTTAAGCAAAAACCCTTCTTCTCTTAGAAGGTCCATTCAGTCCATTAACGTTTAAGGAAAGCAACTCAATTTTCCCTTCCCTTTTAGAAGCCATGTTTAAGAGAATATGTGTGTGTGTGTGTGTGTGTGTGTGTCTACTTACTCTTCACCTTTACAGTTCTACCTTTTCTCTTCTCCTTTGGGTCCAAAGTTTTACTTCTTGTTGTGAATCAACAATTGCTATTTCTCCTTCCTCAGAGTGGTACACTGTTATTTCCATTGCTTCAGTATTTTTTTCTCTTTCTTTTGAGACACTGGGTTCTTCCTCTTCAAGCATAACTCTAAATTTTTTGTAGAACTCTTGTGCTTTGAGAATTGAATCTAGTTTATATCTTACAGTGTTCCAAGTGAAAAATATTCCTTCTGGTGTTAGCCACTTAAAGATAATCTCTTAATCAGTTTCGTAGTAAGGAATAAGTATTTCTGTCATCCTTCTCTAACCCTCCATGGTATTTGTTTCAGAACTGTCACCTCATGGCAACCATCTCTCTTTAATGGCTTCTCAGGTGCGGCCTTCAAAACATTGTCTCTTATAGACCTTAGAGCAAATTTGACATGAACTTCCCTCAGGAGTTTGTTTTTTCTGGTTTAACTCAAGTTGACTCTATATATTAAATCAATTCCCATACTCATTGCCTCATTCTCAATCTCTGAAAGCTCTGCCAACATGCCAGTCACTAGCTCTTTTCACCCTCTTTTCAATGGAACTTTCGTCCAATATTAAGGCGAAATCAGTGTAGGGTTAGGGTTAGAAAAGGAGGTGTCCTCACATGATTTTGTTGGTTGGAAAGTTTTTAGAATGGGCAGAAATGATGAGCTGTGCAGAAATATCTACTCAAGGAAGCCTTTTTCAAAATCGCCCTCTTTTCAATGGAGCTTTCACCCTGTAGAAGGGTTAGGGGTATGCACCAGGGTAGGGTTGGGCTTAGAAAAAGGAGGTCTCCTCACATGATTTTTATGGTTGAACTGTGTTTCGGATGGGCAGAAATGTTGAGCTATGCAGAATAACCTGCTCATGGAAGCCTTTTTCAAAATCGCACCCTTTTCAATGCAATGCACCCTTTTGCCCTATATTAGGGTTAGGGGTATGCACCAGGGTAGGGTTAGGGTTAGGAACATGAGGTGTCCTGGCATGATTTTGATGGTTGGAATTTGTTTCAAATGGACAGATATATTGAACTGTTCGGAAAAACCTGCTTATGGAAGCCTTTTTCAAAATCTCCCTCCTTACAATGGAACCATCACCCTATGTAAAGTTTAGGGGTGTGCACCAGCATAGGGTTCGGGTTAGAAAAACGAGGTGTCTTCGCATGATTTTCATGGTTGGAATGTGTTTAGAGTGGGCAGAAATGTTCAGCTATGCAGAAAAAGCTACTCAAGGAAGGCTTTTTTAAAATCTCACTCCTTTCAGTGGAAGTTTTGCCCTATATTAGGGTTGGGGATGTACACCAGGGTAGGGTTAGGGTCAGAAAAATGAGCCATCCGGGAATGATTTTGATGGTTTGAATGTGTTTAGAATGGGCAGAAAGGTTGAGCTGTGCTAACTAGCAACTTATGTAAGCCTTTTTAAAAATTGCCCCCTTTTCAATGGAACTTTTGCCCTTTAGTCGTGTTAGGGGTATGGTTGGGGTTAGAAAAATGAGGTTTCCTGGCATGATTTTGATGGTTGCATTGTGTTTCGAATGGGCAGAAATGTTGCACTGTGTAGAAAAAACTACTCAAGGAAGGCCTTTTCAAAATTCTCTTATTTTCAGTGGAACTTTTGCCCTATATTAGGGTTAGGGGTGTGCACCAGGGTAGGGTTAGGGTTAGAAAAACGAGGTGTCCTGGCATGATTTTGATGGTTGGAATTTTTTTAGAATGGGCAGAAATGATGAGCTGTGCAGAAAATGCTGCTCATTAAGTCTTTTTAAAAATTTGCCCTCTTTTCAATGGAACTTTCGCCCAATATTTGGGTTGGGAGAGTGCACCAGGGTAGGGTTGGGACATGGCACACATGCTGCAGCAGGCATGCAGCCCCCTTTCTATGAGCACTAGAGCTAAATCATCACAGCATCTCCGCAGCATCCGAACATCAGATAACAGTGCACATAGGGGCCTTGTGCATGCTCGGAAAGGAGTAGCGGCACCAAGCGATGATGACACGAGCCGTAACTCATTATCCATGACTCAGCCGAGCTTTCACATGGCTGGTCAGTGCACTGCCAAGGATATATAGATATTTTCTTGTACTGGCTGTGATTTTTTCCCTCCTCAGCTTAAACCTCAATTTTCAGGTTTTATGGCAGTGTTGGCACTTTGCGAGAAATGAGTGTGTTTTGTGTTGCAGTTCTGACACTCGCTCTCTAATCGGTTCACCATCACGGCTCTAGAGTAACACTTCCCTGTACTTCCTGGCTTTGTGCCAGTTTGCAAACGTAGCTGCCTCCCAGAAACAAACCTTTTCCCTTGCTGGAGTCCTTGCCACCACCCCATGTACAGGATTTGCCCAGGCTGGAGAGGGTTGGCTCTCCTACAGCGAGACACACAGGGGGCATCTGCATGGGCACCTGAGCCAGGAAAGGAGGCAACTGGGGATAGTTTCCTACGGGAGCATATGCATACATCTGCCTGGGGAGGTTTCTTGGCTGGGTGTTGGGAATGCCTTTGTCCCACACCTGTTGTGGGGAGAGAGAACAGTGGGGCTTATTGACATCAAGCAAAAACATTCTTTACAGAGGATCTCCAAGTGGAACGTGACTTCAACATTTCAGTATATGCAGTGTATCAAGACAGCACCAGTGAGCCCTGCACCCTCCAGAGTAAGTACAGTGGATGTGAGTGGGGACTTGGTATATGGTATGGTGGACTCACCCCCCTGACTTCCTCAAAACCTGAGGATGAGGATTCATTACAGAAAGTGTGGTGCACTCCTGCTTTGTATACTTGCCCACAGTATCCATAGAAGATTCAAGAGCCATAGTAACCTTTTTATGAATGCATGGCCACTGAGTGTGCATATCTCAAACAACAAATAAGGCCCTTGTTCACATACAGAGAGTAGAGTGGACAATGTGCATGTGCAAACTAAGTTCTCCTTTGGGAAAGACTTCCATTAGTGAAGCCAATAACACTTCTCCATCAGGTAATATGTTGGGCTCTTACATAAAAGAGGCTCAGAGTGAGCTCTGTGTGGCAGGCAGAAAATGAGCAGGTGCAGCTTTACCAAACTTAAATGCATAAACATGCAGTTAACTGCCTAGGCTTGATAACATCAGCCAAAGATATTAAATATTTCACAAAATCTTGTAGGAAATGTATTCCTGAGATTGCTTGTACAAACCTCTCATTAAATGTATAAAATGAAATAAGAAATTGAGAAAATGATGTTTCAATTGCTCTGATGATTTATCCCCACTCCTTTTAGGGTCTAGGCATTCCATAATTGTGATAGAATTTTCTGTGGTCCCTGAAGCCAAAACCAGGAATCTGTGATCCCTGAAGCATTTCATTTAAAAATTCTAGTAACTGGATCACTTTTCATCCACCTATCTAGCTTTCTGTTGTTCATTTTCTTAAGTGTTATGATGTTGTGAACTGTCACTGATTTTTCATTAATCCAAGCACAAAAGACATTTTGGCCCTATGAGATTATGGAAATACAGGGAGAACTAATATATTATTTGGGACTTCTAAGAATGACTGTCAAACAAATCTATATGCTGCTGGTGTTACTTTTTTGGTTAGAAAAGGAAAAAAGCAAAAGGACTTTCTGGACTCTCTCCTGCTTTCTCTTTTGAAATGCTACACAAGAAATGGCACACTCCTGGTATGTGCTTTCTGAGGGATGTTTCCTATTGCTTCATGGCAAGGCTGAACCAACTGCTGTAAATCCACAAATCAAGGGAATATAACTGAATAAAATGGACATGATCCAGAGTGAGGTACATGCACTTGTCCTGACTATTATAGACTATGTTCTGGGCAGGCTTGTGGCCTTTTGATATGGTGGCAGCTTAAGTAAATTTATTTGTTTCAGTGATTATTTGGCTAAATTTACATGAATTGTTATATAAATAAAACAATTGATCAGAGGTTAAATGATAAGTTCATAGTCTGAAAACAAGCATTAATTAACTCTGGAAATTTGAATGTACTGTAACCCAACACGGATATTGTGGCTGAAGTTGGGCAGACATCCACCCCAAAAGCAGTAATGCTAAAGGCTATGTTGTCTGGATCATACAGCTATAAGGAAGGTACAGTTCCCCAGGGAAGAAACCATAGTGCACCTGTAGAGCACATTCTCTACATGCAAAACGTTTTTGGTTCACCAGAATCTCCAGGGAACTCCCAAGAGATCTATTGCCAGTCAAAGTACACCAGCCTTCCCCACCCTAGTACTCTCCTGATGTTTTGTACTACAATTACCACTTTTCCTGACCATCAATCTTCATACCTGGGGCTACAGCCTCTAACATCTAGGGAGTACTAGGTTGGGAAAGGTCAATATAGACAATATAGGACTAGTGGTCTGACTTATTTTAAGGCTGCTTTCTATGATCCTTGTGTGCTAGAGTTGCAGTTTTGCACCATCACAGGCTTTGATATTTTGACTTTTTCTGCATAGGTTAGGTATAAGCAGCTGTAGGTAACAAAGAGAATAAAAATGGCAAGATGGTGAGATGTCTTTTTAGAAAACTTGCTTTTGATAAAATAGTTTCAGTAAAAATGCAGGAAAACAGATCCAAGGGAAAGAGCATGAACTGAAACAGTGCTTCATTTGTTGTATGTCACAGTGGAAATGGTTTTCATTTTTGTTTCTTTTTTTCCCACTCATTCTCTGTATAGAATTGGTGAAAAAAAATGAAGCTAGACAGACTGAAAATATCTCTACAGCTACCAACGGTAGGAAAGGGGTGGTTGGGTTTTCCAAAGGAGAGGGTTTTCTGTTTGGTTTTCTAAACCAACTAGTGATGACATCTTAGAGTGGTTGGAACTGACTGTAGTAGTTGATGATGTGATCCTAGGGGGATGAACGTTCAGGGGATTTTCACACATCAAAGATCTGACCCAAAGTCAAGTCATTCATATACTGGAGACATCCAGAGCTGATTTTATAATATAAATTGTGTTTGTTCTTGTTTTAAAATTTTCGGTTCAATGGCCAATACTGTATAATACAGAGGAAACTTCATGCATGCAAAACAACATGGATATTGAGTAGCAGTCTTTTATTTTTACTCATGAGCATGCCCGTAAAGTCCACAAATGCCAACTTGCTGCATTTTTCATGGATCATCAGATTGGCATGAAGAGGTCAACTCAAAACATGATGAATTCACTGTGTCGGGTTTGTATGTCACAACAAGCAGCTCTGAAAAGAACAACCCAACAACAAGCCATGGATTCTCAGTGTGGCTTGTACATAGAAAACCACTCACAATAAAAAAGTGCTGTAAGTTTGGACTTCATGAGAAGCTACCCTGAAACAGCTCAGTGTGACAACTCAGTGTCATGTAATTTTATTTACTTTTTTTTTTTATTTATATCCTGCCTTTTTCCTACAAAGGGCTCAAGGCAGCTTACATCATTCACCTCCTCCATCTTATCCCCACAACAACAACCCTGTGAGGTAGGCTGGGCTGAGAGTCTGTGACTGGCCCAAAGTCACCCAGTTGGCTCCATGGCTGAGTGGGGACTAGAACTCAGATCGTCTGAGTCCCAGTCCCATTCTCTTAACCACTACAGCACACTGGCTCTGGTAATCAGGCACATTTGATTTCCAATGGGGAAACCCCTAAAACTGAGGCAATGAATTAGAAAGAAGCTGAAAGGAAACATTAAGAGCAATTTCATGGCACATTTAAAACCACTATACTAGAATCCCAGACTGTGTGGGTACTTCCAGACAAGGCCTTTGTTGTGTTATTATGCAGCTACATTCACAGACTTTTATAATGAGTCCAGACCACATGGTTTCAGTTTTTGGCCCTCCTATATTTTTCCACTGCTTCTTTTGCCTTTTTTCTTTGGAAAACGAAGTCCATTAAAAGGAAAAAGACAGCACTGGTGCACAATGCCCTTTGATTGGTTAATGTAACTAGCCCTGTTTCTGGAAGCATTCTAGTGGACAGATTTGGGATTTTTGAGAACAGGAGTTGCTTTAATGGGTGTAGAATACTCAAACAGGGGTTCCCAAACTGGGGTGTCCACACCCCCAGGGGGTGCGAGATGGCATTTCAGGGAGTGCAAGAAAGAAGAAGGCTGCACTGTGATTCACCGAAAGTTTGCAAAGCTTTTCTTCAAAAGTTATCCCAGTAATAAAATTCTTTATTATTCTGCTTGTGCTTAGATTTAGTCAGTGCTTTTTTTGTAAAAAAAAAAAAAAAAGGTGCCGGAATTCATGTCGCCGGCAGTAAGTGTGCAACCACACACTCCAATCCCAAGCCGAACAGCAGAGCAGCATCCCAAGCCAAGAGCAGCCCTCACTATCTCACTATCAGATAGCAGACACAAAAGCAGCCTGCAGGCACTATGTTAATGATGTTTGCTGCTGATCTGCTACGATTCAAAATCACGTCGTAAAATCCTTTGGAAAAAACGGTGCCGGAACGCTGTTCCGGTGCATTCTATGACAAAAAAAGCCCTGTATTTAGTTATCTTTTGTCAATCAAGATGAAATCTAGGACTCATCTGAATCCTCAGGCAGACTTGCAGATTGCAATCAAAAAGAAAGTTCCACATTTTGACAAAATCGTAAATGAGAAGCAAGAACAAGGAAGTCATTGAACTTGATGTTCACAATTGGGACTGATTTTACTGTTTTCTAATTGCTCAAGTTATATTTAAGTTTTATGCGCTGAGTTAAAAGCTTATTTTTTTAGCTCAATTTGTCCACCCACAGTAGTGTATGTGGTTCAAAAATTAGAAATTTGACTTCCTCATCTTCAAATGTGATGTTAGTTTTGTAGGGTCTACAAGCATAAATCAAACATTTTCTAGGGCACAGAAAAGGTTGGGAACCTCTGTCCTAAAGGATAGGATTTGGGTTGAAGGTTAGAAAAAATATTTTGATTGTAAGAACTATTCAGCTATTTTTATGCATTTATTCTATTTATATCCTACATTTTCCCTGCAAGGAGCTCAAGACAGCTTAACTTTTGCTAAGAACAGTATATAAAAGCTATGAATGAATGATCCTTTTTTTCTTCATTTTATCTTTACAACAACCCTGTGAGGTAGGTTAGACTGAGAGTCAGTGACTGGTACAAAGCCCATCAATGAATTTTATGACCAAATGAAGATTAGAACCTGGATCACCTGGTGTCCCAGTCCAACACACTAATCACTGCACCACACAGTGGAGTCAATTTTCTTGAATTCTTCAAGTGGAGGGTGGGTTGCAATATGTTGGGGATGATTCTAATTCTGCATTTCTTGGAGAAGCTGGGGGGTTATGCTAGATCATGGGTCCTCGAACTACGGCCCGCAGGTCAGATCCGTACACAGAAAGAAAGGAAGGATGGACAGACAGATGGACAGAAAAGAAACTTGACAGTTTGGAAACCATCCCTCAGTGCCTCAGTTTGACCATACAGTGGCTGATGTGGCAGAATGTGAATGGCTGTTAGTAAGCACAAGGCAGTCCATTCCTACAGTTCTGATGTAACTGCATTTTAAAAATTGGGCAAAAGCAAGAATCAAGCAATAATGTTATACAGATTAGCATCACAAGCAACCCACCAAGTGTCATAATGTACAGGCATGTGATGCCCACACCAAGTCAGTGGTGTACTAAATTTTGAAAGGCAGCAGTATATGCACAAATACATGTCAAACAGTAGTCATACATGACATGAAGATACATTATACATTCTGAGTGCAGACTTCCGCTCCTGCAGTGGGACTTCCCTTTCTTCTTTTTCTGTACACCCACCAAAGCTGGTCCAGCTGGTTCCTTAATGTTTTGGAGCAGATTTGGGAGATAGAAGCTACAGTGAGAGGTAGAAAGCATTGTATGGACAGATTGGCACCATTTAATATAACTGACAATTCTCAATATATCTGGATCGATATGACTGCAATTCTAATCATAATTACCTGGGACCAAGCTCTGCAAAATTCAGTGTTGCTAAGTTAGGGCCACATAAGATTAGCTTGTGAATTACATTAAGTTTTATCAAAAGTTCTTCAACTATCTGAAACCTCTAGCTTTTAATGAGAAACACAAAAACTATTGCTAAAGAGTGCTACCACTTAAACTACTAGAATGAAACAGGAACAAAAGAACCATTCAGTCTTTGCTTAATTATTTTCCAGACGTTTTGATTTTCTGTAAGGTTTTTCACAAACAATAACAAAACAGGGCAGGCTTATTACTTCATTCATCTGCTAGAACCAGGAGGGCCTGCATCTCACCATTGCACTCCAGCAGATGTTGTCACTGTTCCTGATCCAAAAAGAGACCCTAGAGCTGTACTTCCTCACATCCCCCCTCTGCACATTCCCCCTCACTGCCCTGGTTTTGGCCCAGATTCCATTAATGGGATGTAAAATGAAAATGCTGATCACTGTTTTTTCCTCTCTTTTAAAGGTGATGTTGATACAGATGTTGGAGTGCTCTTGGGGATTAGCTTTGGAGTGGCCTGTTTCTCTGTATTTACTTTGGCTTTGGCTGCTAAGAAAGCATGCAGGAAAAGGTAACGATTGGAGTATTTTCTCAGATTTTTCCCCACTTGTCTCCTTCACTGTCTCAGGGACATGGACACTTAATTTTAATGAGACTTGCTTACTGTAGTATTGGTGAAAAATGGTCCTTAGCTTTCATATCTGAAAACTCTTGGTTTGTAACTGATAACAGACAGATCCATCCATCCCCACCACTGTGCTGATTGGCATATCTGCATCAGGCAACAGAGTGGGAAGCTAATTTCACCGCCCTCCCACAGCCACCCTTGCCAGGAGGATGTCTGGAGAGCAGGGCCATCCCTTCTGGAGCAAGGCAGCAATAGGCAGAGCTTTCAAGAGCAACCTGCTGTCTATAAACCAGCTGCTGCCTCTTACTGGGGGCAGTGGCTGCCATTCGCCCACCTGCCCACTTGGCCGGCCAGCCAGATGACCTGCCCAGACATTCCTGCCATGAGCCCCACCTGCAGGGCTTCCATAAATGGTTGCCGTAACTGCTGGGGACCCTTTAGCTGAGGCTCAGGGCAAGAGTGGCTGGACAACCAGGCAGGTGCAAGTAGCCAATGGTGCCAGATGGGTGAAAGCAGTGGCAATGATACCACACATGAAGCAGTAAGGCATGATATGATGGCAGAACTGCATCTTCAAGTGTGGGTTACCACCAGGCACCTGGAAAGTAGGCTATAGAATGACTTTGTGCAGACAAATAATGAGCAAGAAGATGGTGCTGATCCTTTTCTCCACTTATCCCCTTATAGTATCTTCATCACCAGAGGCTCACCATTCCTTCACCCCTGTATGCTTGAGGTGGAGGACTCCTATTGCTTCTGATTAGAAGGCATTATGCACTTCTATTTTCCATTGGACCTTAACTGATTATTTGTGGTATGAAAACTGACTGAATAAAAAGTAGAAAAACACTAGGGGATTGCAAAACACAATACCCCACACCTAAAGGTTGTGTGTGAGGTTTTGTTGAACTGTGGGTTGTCGCTGAAACATGGATTATTGTGTGGTCTGAACCCAGCCATGATTGATTGATTGTACTTGTATGCTACCCCATTAGCCATAACACTCTCTGGGCAGCTCACAACATATTAAAGAACAATCAAACAATACAATACAATTCACAATGAGGAGAAAGTGGAAGGTCAATTGACTTGGGAAGGTCTGTGGCGAAAAACTTACAAGCAAAAGAGAGGTTCAGCACCCCTGCCTGCCAGATGCTCTTCACCCTTCCACCCTTCACATGTGCTTATTGGTGACCTGCATGCAATGACACGGGCCTATGGCCACCATGTGCAGTTCTGCCATCAGCCTTGACTGAAAACCCCATAAGTGTTTTCCTCCATAATGAGTGTCAAAAAGTAAAAAAATGCAATTAATATGATGTGCTTCTTCTTCTTTTTAAAGAGTTAAAGCAGTGTTTAGTTCAGTAAAACCAGCATGGCTTTTTGAAGATTATCCTAAACTGCAGAACAGCAATGTGATCAGATCACTTCAGGTAACTTCCCAGATAAACTTTCTGCTTGTTCAATGTATTTTAAGAAACTGGAGGGGATGAAGGCTATATTTGCTCCATTTGTACTCCACCATTGCTACAAAGAGCCCTACACAGAATCCATACTCCTCTTCCTTTCTAATTTAAGCTGAGTGTCACCCAGTCACCCCAGTGGCTGACTTGGGACTAATCCAGCACTCTAACTGCAACACCACACTGGTTTTCAAGGTTCCTCACATCTGTACAAATCAGAATGTGACATGCTTAAAAACTGTGCATGTATGTTTGTGATATATTCACATTATATTATTGACCCATTTGGCTGTTAATTCTACATTGCAGTTCTCTGCATGCTAAGACTGAATTTTTACAGGCCTTCCTTATATCCCCCTGCTTTCCCCTTGACACTTGTCCTGCTTAATTTCTCATCCAGAAGATCCCAAACATCACTCTTCCCTCCCACGCACATTCTGAGCAACCGTCCCTCATGTGAAAGGATTAGATAAAATGTTTCCATTGGCACTAATAGGGTTTTTTTTTTTTTATCAAAACCTGCTAGCCATTCTTTCTGAAAGGGTTCAGTCCAGGCATACTGAAGAAGGAACTAGATGTGCCTGCCCTTCCCAAAGTCTGTATTCCAGGCTATCATTTGTAAGGATGTTTCACAATGGAGAATTCCTAGCCCTAACGTTCAGAAGGCATTGGGCAGCTTTATAAATGTTGTCCAGTAAGTAAAAATAGATAAAATAAAATAAAATAAAATAAAACAAAATGGAGGAACTGGGAAAGCATGGAAGGGTTATGAGTCAAAGTTGATGTCATCTGCCTCCCATAAATGATGAGCGACAATGGTGTAATGAAAGCCAGTTTGAAGCATTCCATTGAGTTAGAAGAAAACCTAATCCATGCTACATATCAAATGAGCATCTAGTTTGGCACTTGAAAAGCATACAAAGCCAAACCTATGCTTGACTGCACACCAAGCTCTTAACCTTCCACTTTACAGAGATGCCTCATTCACTGAGTTCATGGGGACTTTTTGCAACACTGTCAAAGTTTTTCCTCATGTTTTCCAAACATTTTCATTGGGTGTCTTGTCTTGTCTTGTCTTTGGTGAGGGTGAGGAAAGTCAGCCATTAAGTTTAAAATAATGACAAATGGGAACAACATTTATTTAATTATTAGATTTATATCCTGCCTTTTTGTAACAAAGAACTCAGGGCAGCTTACATCACTCTCCTCCTGCTGCTTATACCTTACACCCACAACAACAACCCTGTGAGGTGGGTTGGGCTGAGAGTCTGTGTCTGGCCCAAATTCACCCAGTTGGTTCCATGGCTGAGCAGGGACAAGAACCCAGACCACCTGAGTCCCATTCCTGCTCTCTTAACCACTACACCAGAAAGTCTTGTGTATGGCTGAAAATTCACTATATTGCACCTATGCCACAGTGCTACTTTGTGGTTGGTTAACAGGATATACAGAAAAGCAGAGAAAGACCCTTGTAAAGGATGCACGTTTCCTCCTGCAATTAGAATGGAAGAAGCAGCCTCAGAAAACTAATGGGTTAAATCCCTCATGTAGAAAAATCCATGTGGTTTTCTTTCCTGTTTTTTCCTTTCACAAACTTTCACTATGTTCCATTACCCAGCCACAAAGGGGCAGTGCAGCAGAATGGAACTGTAAACATATTCAGGCTGTTCCTAGCATGATTCCCTGAGGCTTTCCTCAATCAATCAATCCAAAAAAAAAAAAAAAAAAAAGGAAATTGTTGCAAAGCACAGGAGGAAAGACCTTGGAAGACGATGGCATTGGCTGGGTTCACATGTCACAACAAGCAATCCTGCATGATTTCCACAGTGTGCATTTTGTCTCTAGGTGCCTGACAGGTGGTTAAGCGATTTCCACAGTCTCCACTGTCTTTTCTCCGTTAGCATGAGAAAAGCACTGTTAGCATGCATCCCATCAGCCTCCATGCCTGAACCGCAGTCCCATGTTGGAGAGCTGGAGCAACTCCTATAGCAACTGCCACTCATTCCAGGAGACTCTGTGATGGCACAATGGGAAGCATGATGCCAGGTTTGGACAAGCAGAGAAACCCATGCTGAAACACTACAGTGGTGTTCAGACAACACGACAAACAATCCTGTGCAAGAAACCATGATGGCTTGTCATGTTATGGAACCCACTCATTGTGTGAAGCACCTACAAACTGTAGTGAGTGCAAAATCATTAGCACACAATAATACCTTGCGTAGAGAAGTCCTGTATGGCACCACAGAAGCTAGAGCTGTCTGAATGGACCTACTATTACTAGCATGTAAGTCCCATAGTCCGCCTGTGTTTCACAGTTGTTGTTCCCTTACATTTAATTGTGACTCACAAAAGGTAGCTCTTATGTGATTAAGGGTGCAGTCCTATTCATGTTTAGATAGAAGACTAGCTGGGGAATGCTGGGAGTAATAAGACTTCTTTTGCTTAACCGTGCATAGGATTGTTCCCTAGATAACCAGCTCTATTAGTTGCTTAGTTAAAGCAAAAAGGTAAAATAGAGCTTACAAAAAACAAGGAAGAAATCCCGACCTCTGTAGATTGTAGCCTTCCATGCTGAGGCTGTGAAAAAGAAGGGACTTTTAGAGCCAGCACTGAAATAAGCATTGATTTGGGAAGAGCCCACAGCTCAGAGGTTAGGACACACTTTCCCTGCAGGAGGCCCATTCAATACTAGCATCTTCAGACAAAAGGATCCAGGTGGCAAGTGACTTGTTGGAATCCTGGTGACCTGCTGCTACTCAGAGTATATAGGATTGGTTTCGATGGACGGATAGTCTGACCAGATAAAATGCAATTTTCTAGGCTTGCTTTTACCTGAACATCATACTTAACATTCAGAAATTACTACATAAAATTGCCTTTAAAACCATGGCTTGGATGCAGAGTAGCCCTTCCAGAAACAGAGGGCCCGTTCTGTTCACAGAAAGGACTCAGATCCAGGAGAGGCTCTTGATGTCAGCATCCAGCTTGGGGTGACAATTGCTGGGTCCCTTTGGCCCAAGGAGGCCTAGCACAGCTGTGGTGAGCTGGCTTTTGTATTGCTGCTGCTCTATCTATCTGCTGTTTGAGCCATCACAAGCTCCTGCCACTCAGTGCTCCTAGTTCACAGGGGATCATAGCAGTTAGATAATGATAGAACCTGGTCTTAAAGTTCTTGTGCCCAGCTGTAAGGTACAGAACTAACATGTCTCCCCACCTCTCCAGCCATCATGACAAGCTTTAAAACCAGTTCAATATTCCTGGTATGTTAGAACAACAACAAACCTGTGCCAGCCCTGAGGAGGGGAGGGGACGGGAGGGGAGAGAGCTCTTCCGATTCTCTCTCCCCAACAGCTATTCACCCCAACTCTCTGACTGCTCTGAAAAATCCTATAACCACTTCCTTCTGTGAGGGGAATATTCCCTGAAAGGAACCCCACTCACTCTGTCTTTGTTACACAGTTTCTCTGCTATTTAGTTTCACTCTTAGTCCCTCTGTGCAGCAGCTGTTCTTCCTGCCAGACTTACTTTCAAATCTAGCTCTTTCCCCTCCCTTTCCACCACCACCTGCACTCACCCACCCACACAGGGAGGCCCCCTAGTAGCAGAACACAGATGACTAATGTATAAATCCAACTGCTTACTTACCAATACTTTTAACTAGATTTGGTCTACATGCATTGCACAGAATTTGCCTGAAATTCCATATTTCTTATTTGTAAGTATTTATGCATGTACACACACACGTGTGTGTGCATGTGCATGTGCGTGCATGCGTGCATAACGTTATTAACACACATTTAAAAGCTAATGTAGTGTCTAGGCCAGGGGTCACAACCCGTGGCTCCGGAGCCGCACGTGGCTCTTGAACCCCTCTGCTGCGGCTCCGTCGCTCAAAACACACGCTGGCACAGCCGTTGATCTGCTCAAAGCTCCGCTCAGGAAGGCAGCGCTAGCTAGTTAAGTAAATCAGCTAGTTAAGTAAATCGCTACATTCCTCCACAATTCACAGCACTTGACTGTTTATCTGCTAATCAGTCACTAAACACACCTATATCTCTGGCACAGCCACCGATCTGCAGATCCCCACGGATTTACTGAGCTCCCCCCCACACCTCCCATAGGCCAACCATGGATAAATTGAAGAAAAGAAAAGTTTCTGAAGAAAACCAAACGTTTAATGATATGTGGGTAGATTACTTTGCTTTTACTGCTGACGAATTTCTGGGGTTTGCTGTTTAATGAATGCAGCCCTTTAGCACTGACTTTGACTCTTCAGGAAGCTGTTCTCCTAGCCAAAATATATGAAAGGAGTCCTACTAGTTTATAATGTAAGATTAAAAATAGCAGTTTTTAGTGACTGAACAAGAGCTACAGCTAAATCATAATGAAGATATACATAGCATTAAGGTAAAAAACGGTATATGCAGCGTTATCTTCATTTTAGATGTCAAAAGGGTTTTGCGGCTCCCGGTGCTTTCTTTTGTGTGGGAAACGGGTCCAAATGACTCTTTGAGTGTTAAAAGTTGCCGTTCCCTTGTCTAGGCTGTTGTTTTAGATTAGAAACTGAATGGAGAAGTGCTGCCTCCCCTTTTCTTCATTTATTGCATTAAAACTCCAGTTCTTGAATCATCAACATGTTTCATAATTGTTTCCCAGGGAAAAAATAGTTCTGCAGCCCACGATGCTGCTCCTCTATTTGCGGATTATGCAGATGCTGTAGTAACTGAAGTGGAGGAGATCATGGTACACAAACAACATAAAACTTTGGATGATGAAAAGGAAACCAGGGAAGACATTTCTTTGAAAGTTAATTTCCCAGAAGACACGGCTGTCGGCAATTCAGACATGCCGGAGGAAAATGGCTACAAGCCTCAGGTTTTCAACAAGACATTCCAAGGAAGTGTATTCAATGGTGGGCTTGACATACATTCTCAAAACCCAGGTGTAAAATCAACTTTGCCCATGAATAGTTTTGTAAGAGATTACACAAATCCCATGATTGCTTTATGCCCTGTTGCTGGAACTGATGAAAATATGTTTTTAGTTGAGAAAATCAGTCTTGTTTTGAACAACAGTAGAAATGAACAGAACAATATGGTCAGCTCAGCAGTTGAAGAATCAGATACACCAATGGCAAACCAATGGAAGTCTCTGCTTTCAGGTGAAGATATTCAAGAACAGACTTTAATACCAGATGAAATGCTTTCTGGCTTAAAAGCTGTGAATTATGGAGGTTCTCCCAATGTGATGGGTTATTTTACTCAGAACACTGCAAAATGATTTTATTATGAGGACTGGAGGAGCACTGGATGCACATTATCTTGTGATTATGTTATATAACACTGGTTTTACTCTCAAGCAGAATAACTCAGTGACCTTGATATTCTCAGTCTGCTGTCTTGAATGAAAGTAAACATATCTACAGCAGCAATTGAACTATTAATCCCTCATGCCCATTCATTCTTTCATAAACCCCTGCCATCATGGGAATGGCCAGAAACTATGGGTCTTATAGTCCAAAACAACTGGAAAGCACTATGTTGTCAACATGTAAAGCAATTGATATATTGAAGTAAAGGAGCTGGAGGAAACCAGAAGGCCATCTAGTCAGGCCTCTCTGAGAAAGGCAAAAGAATTGATTATATAAACCCATGAGATATAAACCTGTATAGACCTACATGGAAGCACCACATGGTAAACCCAGAAAACTGATGTATTGTAGGACGTACCTGTGGAGAAAATAACTCTAGATAATCCAAGTGAAGAAGCCAAAGCAAATATTTCATAAAGCCTTCAATATCTCAGTGTCACTATCAGTTTGGCTGCAGGAGGAAAAGACCCAAATTAAGATGTTCAGCCAGCTGAATGTTGCCAAAATCCAGCCATGGAGGAACGTTTATTCAGGCCCACTGCTACATCCCATAATATCCTGTCTTCAGTTGCATCAGTCTTTAATCCCTCAAGGAAGTTTGCAAAGCAGGAAGAGGGGATACTATTTTTGTGTTTTTCTGTTGTACGACTACTTCTCACATCACTGAATTATATCAGACAGATGCCTTTTCTACCAGCATCAGTGGACATCTTGAAGGGGTGACGTGATGCAGACTTTTCCCCACTTTCATCAGTATAGTGAAAGTCAAGCACAAGGAGGCAAATTTGCATTGTACCATACAGGTCTGTGGAGCAACCAAACTTAGAATGCTGTGTACAGTTCTGGATACCACACCTCAGAAAAAGGATTATAGAAATGAAAAAGAGGAAGAAAGGATACCAAACTGATCAGGGGGCAGGAACAACACCTCTGTGAGGAAAAGTCATGACACTTAGGATTATTTAGCTTTAGAAAAGGAAATGGGAGGAAGAAATATTTGAGGTGCAAAGAAAGTAGATGAAGGCTTTTTGCCCTCACTCCAGGCACTCTTGCAGGAAACTGACCATAGAAACACAGAAACAGAGCGAGTCAGAAGGGGCATCTGGGAGAAAGAAATCTCCCATAATTACTGTGTCCCTCCCCCGAGATATCCTTTGAATCTGGTCTGGGCCATCTGGATCCATTTCAGTTTCAGGCACAGTTGTGGGATTGAAATTGCCTTGGTTGCCCAATGTGATGACTTCTGCCAGAAAAGGAACAGGAGGAGTGCATCTCTGTTGGTTCTTCTGGGCCTCTCAGTGGCTTTTGATACCATTGACCATGGTATCCTTCTGGATAGGCTGACCAAGTGGGGGTTGGAAGCACACTGCTTTGCAGTGGTTCTGCTCCTACTTGGTCAGCCAATCTGAGAAGGTGGTGTCAGGGGATAATGGCTCTGTACCATGGCAATCATGCCATGGAGTTCCACAGCAGTCCATTTTATCCCCCATGCTATTTATCATCTAAATGAAACCGCTAGGGGAGATCATCCAATGGTTTAGGCTGAGGTATCACCAGTATCCTGATAACACCCAGCTCTATTTCTCCTTTAAATCTAATCCAGGTGAGGCAGTGATTGTTTTGAATCAGTGTTTGGATGGTATGATGTTCTGGACGAGGGTCAACAAATTGATCCAGATAAAATGGAGGTTCTGTTGGTAGGTGGGTCAGCTGTCCTGGTGAATGCTACTTGCCTTGTTCTGAATGGGGTTGCATTCCCCCTATGGGACAGGGTGCATGGTTTGGGAATGTTCCTTGACCCAGAGTTATCCCTGGAATTCCAGGTGACTGCTGTGGCAAGGAGTGCCTTCCACCAATTTCAGCTGATTCATCAACTACATCCTTACCTGGATGAGCAGAGTCTAGTAAAGCTCACCCATGCTCTGGTAACGACCCAGTTGGACTATTGTAATGCACTCTATGTGGGGCTTGAAGATGGTCCAGATGGTCAGCTGGTACAAAATAGAGCAGCCAGGCTTGACCATATAATGCCAGTTCTGTACCATATGCACTGGCTACTAGTTTGAAGTCTGGACACAATTGAAAGTGTTGACTTGAATGTACAAAGCCCTAAATAGTTCAGGGCCTGGATATCTGAAGGAGCATCTCCTTCCGTATATACCTACTCTAGCCTTAAGGTCTTCTACAGAGGTCCCTCTTTGGGAGCCCTCACTGAAGGAGGTTAGAAGAGTGGGTCCCTGGAGAAGGGCCTTTTCTGTGGTAGCGCCCCAGCTCTGGAACCTGCTTCCCATAGAGGTGCGCCTGCCACCAATGCTTTATTCATTTTGGTGCCAGGCCAAAACCTTTCTATTCAACCAGTATTTTAAAGTTTGATGACATTTTTTTAAGATGGAAATTTTATTACATGCTTTTATATTGTACTTTAATTTTAATTGTGCTGTTACAGTTGTGAGCCATCTTGAGACCTATTTTAGTATAGACAGGATAGAAATGTTTCAAATAAATAAATAAAACCAGAAGTGACCATCATCCAATAAAAGCTGAATAGTGGGAGATAAAAGGAGGTACTTCTTCACACAGCAGATACCTAAACTAAAGAATTCACTTCTATAAGAGCAATGACTTAGATTACTTAATCACTAATTTAGATTAATTTTAAAAGGAATTAGACAACATTGTGGAGAATAAGGCTATCAGTGTTTATTAGTCACAATGGCTGCCTGCTACCTCCAGGATCAGAGGCAGCATGCCTCATTTGCCATGACGCAATAGCAGGAAAGGGGTGTTTCCCTCGTTATTTTGCCAGTGAGGTTGCATTGGGCCACTGACTGACCACGGTGGGAAACAGCAAGCTAGACTAGCTGGGCCTTTGACCTGAGCAGCAAACATGATGCTGAAGTAAAGCATCAGCCAGGTCACCCCATAGTTTACTCAAAGTACCATTAAGGAAGAGCAACTTGACTATCAAGGATCTGCTTTCAAGAAGTCTCAAAATGTGTTAACTACAGCTTTAACACTTGGTGAGGGAGATATCAGTAACATAAATGTCACATCTGACTGTTCTCAACGAGATGAACAATTTCCTAGAAAATGAACAGTATCACTAAATATAAATGCAAGGTGATCTAAAATTAGTGTTATTGCAGGAAGGAAATAGTAAGAGAAAAGCCACACACACTTAAAAAACTTGATATGGAAAGTCAGTAGGTACCTTTCGTTTGCTGTTGCTTGTCTTCTGACAGTTTTAAGTAGAAGAAATAGGAATGCATGGATCTGGAAATGTTTCTGTTCTGCCAAAAGGTGTGGTATGTATTGCAAGTGCTATTTAAATGTATGGGCTATAAAATGATCCTTATACGTCCAGCCATTAGATCTGATGAAATGTTTGTAACAATGCATCTAATATGACAATAAAAACAAGGGAGGGTTGTGGCATTTGGTCTAACAGATTTACAATACAAGCTTGTGCAGGTATACTCAGAAGTAAGTTTCACTGTGCTCAATTGAACTAGCTCCTTACTGAAACTATAAGGCTGTAAATTGACTGTTAATTCACTGTATGGCTTTGTTTTGTGGCAGAACTGAGATCCAAGCATTACACAAGGAGCTTTTTCTTCCCTGCTTTTCTGTTACATACCGTATTTTTCCGTGTATAAGATGATACTTTTTCTTTAAAATATTTACCTAAAAATGGAGGAGCGTCTTATACACTGGGGCCAAAAGGAGAACTGTGGGCGCATTCTGGGGGGAGGGAGACTGGCACGATCGTGGGCGCGATTGGGGGGGTCATGGGTGTGCTGTGGGGGGAGACTGGTGCAGTCACGGGCACATGCGCAGGGAGGCGATGAAGCAGTGGGCGCCTGCGCATGGCAGCAGCTTGCTCACTTGGAGATTGGTAAGAAAAGTGGGGGACATCCTATACATGGGGGTGTCTTATAGACAGAAAAATACAGTAAGTTCTGAGTGGCACTGTGGTATAGCCTAGAAATTTTCTAAATAAATAAATAAATAAATAAATAAATATAGCCCATATGCAGAAGAAGAAATGGTACTTTCTTTCATTTTCATAATTTAATGCTGCATTTCCCTTGCTCTACAAAAGAACCCATAAGCAATCTGTGACTTGAGATTGCTGAGCACTTGCTAAATGCCTCATGCAGAAAACCCCCATGTGCATTGAGGGTTGTAGTCTCCTTGTGACTCCAGGTTTAGAGGACTAGAATTCACTTCATCAATTGCCGACAGTTAAAACTTAAACTAGGTGTTGGCTTTGAATATGGAAGAGCTTATTATGGAGTCTTTTCTGAGAAATAATGGTTATGAGGAACAATCCATGGGAAAGAGTTCTGGCTAAGCCATGCTGAATTAGAGTTGCATAAGAGCATCAGGTACTGATAGGTATATGAAAGTGAGCTAAGCAATGTTTCAGTGGAGACCATGCTGCAAATTACAGGATTTTTTCCTGCACAGCTCCTGATTGTGCTCTTGCATAGTTCCCATTCATTTAAAAGGAGCTTGTATAGAAGAGCTTCTTGGTGGATTTACGCATAAGCTCTAGTGTCTTTGCAACTGTTTCCAAGAGAGGACATAAGAACTATAACATCATGAGTTTTAGCAATTTGCAGATCTTTTATCAGTACTGGTTATAAATAACATTAAGAACTGGGTTAGATCCAAACTTTGTCATATATAAAAATAGACTCACTGAAATCAATGTGACTTACATTTGTCACAACTGAATCTGGATGCAACTCAATATGTCTGTACCAATTGCAAGACATATTTATGACTCATAGAATAAATTCCATGTCATGTATTTGACTTTCTAAGCATTTTAAGATGCAGTTGTTGCTTAAAACTAAAACAATCCTAGCAGATCAATGGCATAACTGATACATTATATCAGTAG